GGCTGACAGCTTAGGAAGTTAAGATACTGTTAAATAGTTAAATATTTGTTAAGTTTTCTCGAATTCTATTAATTGTTATTCGCTCCTTAAATAAATTTTACTTGTTGAGAATCAAATAACTTTTGTTATTTTCTGGTCGGCTCGGTCGATCGTGACGTGCGCTCACCCGCTACCAGGGGAGAGTCTTTAGTCTACCCGCTACCAGGGAGATATCAACGCCTGACTACGCCAAGAAATAATTAAATTAGTCCAGTATAGTCGGCCCCTTATATGAATATTTAGACTTAGTCTTTGCCCCACCCGCGCGCACGTCGCAATATTACGAAATCTCACTACAGACCGATGCTTTACATTCAGACAAATCCTGATTTAAACACTTACTGAGATTTGGCTACAAACGAAGGAGACCACTGCTCAAAATTGCATTTTTTACAGTCACATCTGGTGTTATGCTTCACATCTGGTGCAGCGGAAATTCACATATAATTTTTACAGATGCTCATTTTTGAGATACATATGGGGTTCCACCCCCTGTGTCAAAGTAAAAAGCCCTAGATATATTTGCATGAATGGCTTTGTGATTACATTTTGTGATTACATAATCATTCTAGAATTGCTGCTTAATTCTTTGAGAACATTTATTTTACAGCTTTTTGGTTTGGTTTTATGTGGCAACAACACAGTTTAGTCATACGGCAACTTTCCAGCTGGTGGAGGCAGACCTCAGGTACATTATTTCAGGCAGGTACTGGTACCTGAGTAGAACAAATGACATTCTGTAAGCAAACTGCTTAGCTTCCTCACATGAAAGAATCCAAATGCCCTAGTGGGATTTAAATCCACTGATGACACATTAAATTCAGAATTCTTGCATAAAATACTAATATACCTTTAAATCTTAATAGAAGAGCAAACAGAAAAAAGATGTTTATGGTATTTGTTATAATTCAAAAGTCATAGAAGACCAAATATAAATTTAATTTGTTACCTTTTGGCCATTCCTGAAAGTACCCTGGAACTTTTCCCCAAAGCTGTGTTAGTTTCCTCAAGCTAGTATATGAAAATAAATTTAATGTTCAATAATGATATAAATACAAGAAACATCTATACATTTTGTAATCTACAATTTCCTTTAAAATCACAGATATCAATTTTTTTACTGAAAATTTAAAGGGATAAAAAGAAATAACTAAACGTTGTATGATGTTACTAATTTAACCATACTTCCTGCTGCATTTCTTGAATCGACTTGTTCAGCTACCATTTTTAGAACTGTTCATTATTGATTTTGGGGGGGTTTTAGATGAAAATTTTAATTAGCATAGCACAGATGTGTAGACTGGGCTGGCCCTTTACTGGTGGAAAAAGGCTGAACAATTTTGGTTCCAGTAAGGTAAAAGTTTAAATGGCTTGGCAGATTTTAAGAGAGGATAAAGATCAATTTATCAAACCCTGTTTCTAGAACGCTGAATTGTTTCTCTTTGGTCTTGTAAATCTGTAAGTATCTGTGCCCCCATTTGCTCTGAAAACATAAAGAGCACAATTCTAAAACAATATATATGTGACAGCTTCCTCTTTTAATCTTACCATTACTTTAAGAGGCATCCCTCTAGATGAATGAAATAAAACTTAAGAAATATATAGAGGATATTTGTTTGTTTGTGTTTAAGATGAAATTTTATTTCATCGAGTGAGATTTAAAAACAGTATTCTCACTAGTGGCGTAGTCATGAGTGAGAATACTGTTTTTAAAGTTCATGAGATGAAATAAAATTACATCTTACACAACAAACAAACAAATTTTCTTTTTATTTTATGCTTAAACACAAGTTGAAACGAAATTTCCTTGATATTAACTTTAATATTAAAATCTGTTTTTCCCATTGGTAGCCTCTCTATTAGTCGATTGTTAACATTCAAAAAGCAGCTATGAAATTGGAACACATGGACTTCCTTACAAACTTACAAACGCTGGGTTATTTACTTATTCTTCGGGCTGATATCTGTCATTGCTTTTTAAGTTATTAGGCAGTTATTGCTCGTAGAATACTTAAATATGCAAGAGCAGTTCTGCATGTGGAAGGAATTAAATTTTTTAGACTGTTAACATGAAACAAAAATTTAGAGATGATATTTGGTGATTGGTAATTTGAATGAATTGAAGTAAGTTTTCTTCTTTTGATTACTTTTGAAATTTCAGTTATTTATTAATTTCAGCTTTGCTTTTCTCTAAACAGCCCTGACAATGTCAGAATTGTCAACAATAATAAAATTGAGGTAAGCATGGGGAAAATCTTAAAAAAGTCTCATCTTTGAAAAGTGTGAAATTATCAAATATATTCTTCACTGTGAAATTATCAAATATAATTTTCACAGATAAATCAGTAATCCATTGAAAAGCATAAAATAAAATTATGTTACTGTTTTTATATTTTAGAAATGTATAAATATTTAAAATCCTGATATAACTTTAATGTATTATGCAAAATATGAAAGAATTTAAAAAGTTCATCACTAGAACTCTACAATTTTAAAAGTTGAATAAAACAACAGACTGACATTTTCTGAGGATAAAAATAATACATGTGATTGGGTTATTGAGTAGATGATAATATTTGTGTATCAGTAAATACCTGTTTCCATGACAACTCTATAGCCATCTTGCAACCTTCTGGATCCTCTTTCCAATTTTTCTGTGTTGTCTAGCAATCTTGTCCTCTGAAATACAAAAGATCAATAATAGCTTAAACTATCTATCTATCCAGCTAACTTAATTAATGAAAAGTTGAATTGAACAGAACAACCCACATGTATATGAAATATTTTGCTGGTTAGATTAATCTTCATGGAAATGTATCAGATATTATCTAGTTGATAATTTCTATTTGCTAAATTTGCGTGATTTTTCTTATTTCATGAAAAAACTTATAAATAAATCATACCAAGGGCAAGAAGAATCCTGTAGCAAAATTACTGGAAAATGACTAAAATGGCTCATGGCCAAGAGGCCTCTGTTAAAGTTTCTCTCTTTTTAAAAATTCTGCAACTAGGTACAGGTTATACCAATAATGTATATCCGTTATAACAAGGGGTGAATGACAACCAGTACTTATCCTTACAGCAAACAAATGTATTTATCAATAATTTGCTTACCTGATCTTCAGAGTCATTGCACTCTTCACCTAACAACTCCTCCCTTGCATTTAAACCTAGCTTAGCTCTTTTCTGTAAATGCAAAGTTAAAATATGATACAAAGAAATTTCACACCTCACGCCAGTTGGCATTTACTTTACGCCACTTTACGCTACTTTACGCATTTTAGGCACACCGATTACTGCCTTAGAATGAGGTTTTTGATTACATTTATGTAATCATGTGTATTTATTTAAATGGACTTTGAAATTCACATAATTATTTATATGTCTATTTCACATAATGCTCGGCTGTAATAATTAAAATATTATAAATTTGTGTTTGTAATCACAATGATATATAACTTGCATATCTTAATAAAGATAGGCATGTCTCCCTTTCAATGTTATTGGCTTCCACTTTGGAGCCATTGGCTCCAACTTTTTCTGATTGGCGAATAACAATTTGGTGGGGCAAACTAAAATTTAAGATTCAATAAAGACTGTAGGTATGACACTCGGAAAAAAAAGTTCAAAAATTTCATTCATGCTAAATAAACCCTTAAATCTATTAACTTTGAGTAATATATTTGCCCTCCTTTGAATTTCCTACATTCCATTTTAATTTTAACCGATTTTGATATCAAAATACAGTAATTGACCACCAACAGTATAGTTCCTGAAGGTGTTACTAATTGTTACACAAAAATATCACAAATAATAGATACAGTCCAAAACCATCAAATTCATGTACACTTATGGATTTGCTCTTACCTATATTGATTTTTTTTACACTAAAAAATCTTTTACTTTTCTAAAACAACTTGATTAAGATTTTTTCCACTACTGTATGCATCAGCAATATCAGATGTACTAAAATACAGCATACCATATCAGCAAGAAGTTTTTTATTCTCTGCCTTGTATGAGGCTAACCTGGTTCTATATTTCTGTTTATCTTTTGCTGGAAGATCTTTAATTTCCAACTCCATCTGTTCCAGCTGAAACAAAGATTAAATATCCAATCAACATAACATCACTAGTATTACCTGTTGTAAACTTTAAAGGAACACTGACAGATAAGTAGAACACTTTTATGGCAATACAAGAGCTGTCTGTAAAAAAGTGCACTCAACTATTTTCAGTGCTTGACAGGGTCATAAATCAGTAAACAGATAACTCAGATGTATTGGCCCTGTGTCCATCATGTTAGATTATCACAGAGAACAAGTGTGTGAAGTTTCAACCAATCCCCTTTAGTAGTTTTATAAATACACTGGAGCCGCGATATAGCGCTCATGTTGGGGTCCATGATCTCAAGACAGCGTTGTAACGAGTAACTTTTTATAACGCTCATTTTGTAATTATAGCGAAAATATCGCATTACCCCACCCACCGCCGAAACATATAACGCTTGTTAGTGGAATTGATTGTTTACTTACCTTCCAATGGATATCAGTCCAAGCTTTTTTTATATATTATTATTAATTATTTTGTAAAGCATTACTGAATATCTTTAATATAAACATGAAATTTACGAATTAAAAATATAAACCACGAATGAATGTTTATAAATTTCCAGTAAAACAGCGGTGTTAACGTGAGTTATGTGTGGTCATGAAAATTGATACCTAGTGGATGGGACTAAATTAATCGTCTTTCCTGCTGTCTCTTGTGAAAAAATCAGTCATCCTCAACAACTTTTTTGCCGATAGATCGAAAGTAATTGCTTTTTAAAATTAATTGTACGCTTGGGTGATTTACTTAACTCGTCGGTGTTTGCATGTCTTAGCTAACAGTTTGATACCTGACTGATCAACAGTTCAAAATGAACAAAAGAGCGGATTAACGCTTACCTGTGTATTACTTCACACCTTCTTATCATGAGTGACGTAATTATGACTGTTTATTGCACTCGACTGACACATTGAACAAGCGTTATAGTGGATAAGGTGCGGTATTGATACAGCGTTCTACTGAGATAAGCGCTATACCGATGAGCGCTATATCGCGGCTCCAGTGTACCAACTTATACACAAAAACTTTACCAAAGTGTGAAAATGATGGCTACAACAATGCTGGGGTGAGTACAATATTCAGTTCTTCCTGTTCTTCAAATAGTCGAGCTAATATAAATAAATGCTATGAAGAAAATTTTTAATAAATTGCATACTGATGCAAATATGTAGACATTAATGACAGGAATAAAGCAAATCAATTAATAATAGCAGTTTTCTATTTTTCAAGACATTTTCTAAAACAAGCAAATTATGGACTTGCAGCAATTTCAACAAATATGCAACAATTTTAACTGGTCTTGTTTTCTTAAAATAAACAATAACAATTTAAACAGACCTATAAGTAAAAAAAAAAACAACAAAAAAAATGTATTTTTTTCGCCCTCTTTTCTTCTACTTTTTCACATTTATTTCATATATTACTAAAGAATTAATTTAAATATTTTTAATAATTACCAACTCAGCCAATTCATCAAATAATTTATCCACATGTCGAATGTTGGCTTGCTTCTCCCCTGTAAATAAAACAATAGTGAATACTATTAAAATATATGATAGGACCGTGTTTTTTGGCAAAATATGCAGGGATATTCAGTCCCATTCCCCACCTTTTTGAATACTGTTTACATACAGTACTTTCCCCCCAAAAAATGGCTAAATTTCCTCACCATTCAGAGAGAAAAAAAGCAAAATTTTTATGATTGCAATCAGTCATTATACTCAACTTTTCAAACATTTTATTTTAATCAATCTAGTTTAATAATCCTATATTTCCGTGCTCAGCTGCAAAATACCAAATATTATCAATAGGTCTAATTAAAAGGCAGCGTTATCAAAACATTACACATGCATATGCTTTAGATTTTTCAAGATGTGATCAACATCACTGAAATTTAAAGATATATGTTTCAATGTTCATTTTAATCAATGAAGAGTTATTAATATTCTATTAATTGTTGCCCACGTCCCGATCAGGGCTCTCGTTGAGTAATAGTGAGCTCAGAGAGCTGGCCCGAAAGGCCTGCTTGCAAAGTGATCTTTACAGTAATGTCAGTACCTGCTTGATAGTGATTATTTTGAAAACTTTCGTCAGAAGTGGGAAATTGACATATCCCAACTTCTCGAATTACAAGAAAACGATAAAAGCCGAGGTATTCTGATTGAAAACAGATGCGTAGACTGAACCAGTATAAACGGAAGCAGTGTATAAAATACCCAATGACAGTTTTAAAACGTAAAATGAAAATGAACGATTCTCATATACTAGATTCTCACATACTATTTCACGAATCCGGGTCAGCTCGGCCCTAAAACGTACTCGGCCCCCGAGTCAGCTCGGCCCTATTCCAACTCGGCACGGGTCAACTCGGCCCACTTTTCAATTATTAATATTTAAGTTTGTGTTATCACTATTTATTGTAATTATTTATAATACACCTATTGACAGTTTCCGAACTAGCAGCAGACAGGCTTTTCTTATCCGTAGAATTGCGAGTAAAGATAACCGATTGCGTATCTCACTGTATTTCTGACTCGTGGTAGGTTTAACCGTAAATTTAAATACCTTCAGTGTCAAACAATGTGTTGAAATATTTATTGTTACGGGCTATTATTATCAATCAGTGTGTATGTTAAGGATACCGATTAATTAGGTGATAATTATGATTGACTCATTCATTCATTTGATTAGTGACCACCTGCAATTAATTCGAAGCTTATGATATGAAGTAAACACGTTTTTCTTTCATTTTGTTTGAATATTACTAAATACAAACAAAATGCATCTAAGGAAACACATTTTTATTAGATCTATATTAATTTTATCGAATCTGCAAGACAAATAAAAAAATAATCTAAATGTACTTATTTCGGCATAAGTGTAATTATATAATAAAGCAAATTTAATACGTTATATATATTTTTGTAAAGTGGGCCGAGTTGACCCGTGCCGAGTTGGTATAGGGCCGAGTAGACTCATTTCCCTATTTCACGGTAAAACTAAATTCTAAATCGAGCTCGCTGCGAGGCTTTGCCTTTTTCATATTAGGACTTCTATAGAGGCTTAACTGTTCTGTCATTCCGGGAAATAATTAAGACTTTCACGTATAAAGCAAAACAAAAAGAATTAGAAGTTAAAATCGGATAGGCGGACGTCCGAAATTACGTCAAGTTTTTATTAATTATAGTGCGAAACGGCAAGAACTTTCAACTTTTAGATGATAAATTAATACCTCCTATAGTATTACTGATTTTACCAATAGAAACGGTAATATCAGCACTTAATGAAGAGTATTGCTGCTCATATGATTCGATTAACGTTGTCATTTCGGACTGGATTTCTGCGCATGTCACTAAAATCCTTGTCCTTCCAGACGCTTATTGAACTGGGAGGAATTAATTCTGCTGGTACCACTTTTTTACCAACTTCCTCAAACCCATAACAGAGGTACCGGTCATCAAGCCAGTTGACTTCCTTTTCCGCTGTGATCAAATCAAAGGTGCTGATTGTAAATAAAACTAGCTCCAAATATCTTTCCACATCATTATAAGTTATGATTAAAATTAAATTTGTAAAGCAGTTTTGCATACAGTAACATATCAGCTATTATGTTAGTGCTATAAAACATGATTTAATTCGTAGTTGAAACGGTTTTCGCAATTTAAGAAGGGTAGCGTATAAACAAATCCATAGATCGCAATTGTATAGTAGTATTGAGTGTCAGTCGATTCAACATTTGTTGTAGGTGTAGATATTTGTTTTCATGTTAAGGTGCTTTTATAGAAATTGTTTGATTTTTTAGCTTCCATTTCATATTGTTTACCATTTTTATCTCAGATGGTGCAGCGACTTACTTTCCGAAGGAGACTGTCCTACAACACAAACAGTAACCGCAGGAAGGTGTAAGTTATTTAAAGTTTGCTAAATACGAACTTAAGACTATCAATAATTTTTTACACCTGTTTAAGTAATGTGAACTGTCTTTGGGGAGTAGAACGCAAGTTGAATTGTGTGACTTGTGTCAGTGATATAGCAAAGGGGTACGGCTCTTTGAATGTTCACAAAATATGTCCATTCCCATTACACTATATACTAATATATAGACAAAGGTAAAAACTCCCATAAGAAGGTGTCTATGCCCAATCAGGGTTTTTGCCTCGCGGTTTTTTACACGATACAGCATAAATAAAAAGGAATTATGCAATTTGTAGTTGAATGATTTATAAATCTATCGAACCAATGTAAAACTTTTCTTAAATCTCTTATACTTAACGAGTACTGGCTGTCAAAGTAATAAAAAACTGTTCATTTTCGCGACTGTTGCAATCGTTATATATAATATCACAAGCATTTATCATGCTGGGCACTTAAAAATACAAATAAGTAATCAAAATATACCAATAACCTATAATGACAATGTGAAACTCACCTGCGGCTTCAGAATATTTCCCTGTTGAAATTTCTATAAAACACTGCCATCTTGACGAATATAAACAACCGTCATTTAATTGGTCGTTTTTTTTTTCGGAAATTTACGGGTATATTTTCGGGAAATATATCGACCAATCAAATGACGTTGATGAGCCATACCTCTTTGTGATATAGTATTAAAAATGATAGTGATCACAAGTAAAGGTGGTCACAATTGAAATAATCCATGCATACAGAGATGTATAGACTTGCAGTAAATGATATAGTAAATTTGTTTTTATTTTGTGAAATTATGTACTGGCATTTTCACTAAATTGATTTGTAGTGCATTATCTTCATAGATATATGATTCATCACCTACTTCCACTATTTTATTCTGACACTAAAATCTTTATACTGATTAACTTATTCATAGGAAACTGGTTGCATCTGCATGTCATTTAATATAGACAAGGCCAGTCTGGATTTTGGTTCCATAAGGAAAAAGTGATACTGGTCTTTTTAATGAAGAATAATATTTAGTTTCATTTCCACTTGCACATAATGCTTATTTTAAATTGACTATAAAAATTTTTATCTTCATTGCTTTCCTTTTTTTAGTAGTGTATTTTTACACTTTGCTAATGAGTTATCTGTTCTTTATCTTTCATATCCTCTCATTTTGGACTGGCTTGTTATTGAATGTGCAGATCAAAAACACCTGGTAAGTAAATGCTTAAGTCATTATATTAGCAACTGTAGTGTGATTGGGTTAACAAAATAAAAATTATCTGTATGAAACAGAGTTTTTGATTGGTGCAATTTGTTCTATTCTAATTTTTTCCGTTCTATATGGGGTGAGTGATTTTGTTGAATTCTGCTGCTGCATTATAAATTCAGCCGATATAATGGGGTTTTTTCACAGGTAATGGACATATTTAGTTTGATGCAGGGTTGTCATTAAAATTTTTTGCAGAAGGTTTGTTTTGAAATTGAGGCGGTCATTTCTGTCTTTATCATGCATAACAAAGAGTGTTTTCTTAATTTTGAGGCGGCCCATAATGCATTTGAGACAGGCATTTTGGCCTCCTGCCGCCTCTTAATGACAACCCTGTTGATGATGATGTTTTTTTTTCTGTATTTGAGATTATAACACTGGTGCAGAAAGCAACACGAGAAAACATAAATCATTAGACTAACTCCGGAATAAGGAAAATTTTGGGTTTTTCCCAGGTAATCCGGGGGTACAAACAAATTTTTACAATTACAAACTCGAAAGAAAGTGCAACAGGTAGGTCCGGTACTGCACTGTGAAGCTATAACGGTACATATTTGTTTGTACTAGGGGATTAGCATGGAAAAACCCGCATTTGCTGAGTTCTGGATTGCAACTATTAAAAGTCAGAGAGTATATACAATGTCATTCAAATAGTTGAAATAGACCTTTTACACTTATGAATACAATATTCATTACTTCAAAATTTTAACAAAATCTTTTAAGTAATTGTTTTTCAGTATAACTATTTTGCAATACAAGATACATTTAATACTATAATTATTGCAGGTGGCAAACTTGTCTACTTGTACAAGAAGAAGTTAGGCAGCATACCAAAATGTGGAGACTGCAAGGCTGTTAAATTGCATGGTGTAAGTTGCTTTAATATAGTTCAATAGATAAATTTGATACAAGTCTATCTCCCTGAGCTAATTGGCTCTGGATAGTATGAAATAATTACATTTTATTTGTTTAACTAATATCTTTTAAATTTAACTTGTTGATAACTCCTTTCCCATCAATTTCAGTGTCTGCAAAATCAAGACAAAAGCTTTTTGTATTTCAATGGTTGTGATGAGTGGAACTTGCCCTCTCTGATATGATGATTGAGAGTTTATTCCTTTTACTGAACCATGTTTTTGATATAAGAAAGTGCAGTTATTGTTGAACGCATGTTCCTAACTAAGTATACCTATGGTTATGATGAACTGAACTTGCCCTCTCTGATATGATGATTGAGAGTTGATTCCTAATACTGAACCATGTTTTTGATGTAAGAAAGTGCAATTATTGTTTTACGCGTGTTCCTAACTAGTATACTTATGGTTATGATGAACTGAACTTGCCCTCTCTGATATGATGATTGAGAGTTGATTCCTTTTACTGAACCATGTTTTTGATATAAGAAAGTGCAATTATTGTTTTACGCGTGTTCCTAACTAAGTATACTTATGGTTATGATGAACTGAACTTGCCCTCTCTGATATGATGATTGAGAGTTGATTCCTAATACTGAACCATGTTTTTGATGTAAGAAAGTGCAATTATTGTTGTACGTGTGTTCCTCATTAAGTATACTTATGGTTATGATGAACTGAACTTGCCCTCTCTGATATGATGATTGAGAGTTGATTCCTTTTACTGAACCATGTTTTTGATGTAAGAAAGTGCAATTATTGTTTTACGCGTGTTCCTAACTAAGTATACTTATGGTTATGATGAACTGAACTTGCCCTCTCTGATATGATGATTGAGAGTTGATTCCTTTTACTGAACCATGTTTTTGATATAAGAAAGTGCAATTATTGTTGTACGCATGTTCCTAACTAAGTATACTTATGGTTATGATGAACTGAACTTGCCCTCTCTGATATGATGATTGAGAGTTGATTCCTTTTACTGAACCATGTTTTTGATATAAGAAAGTGCAGTTATTGTTGTAAGCATGTTCCTAACTAAGTATACTTATGGTTATGATGAACTGAACTTGCCCTCTCTGATATGATGATTGAGAGCTGATTCCTTTTACTGAACCGTGTTTTTGATATAAGAAAGTGCAATTATTGTTGTATGCGTGTTCCTTGCTAAGTATACTTATGGTTATGAGTAATAATACCCGTCATATGTTGCGGTTCGGGTTGGAATATCTGTCCCTCGTGGACCCGCCCATTGGGCGGGTTCCCGAGGGACAGATATTCCGATCTGAACCGCAAACATATGTTTGATATTTTTAACCAGGTTTTCCGAAGGAAAAAACTGGTTATTAGATTGAGGTATGTCGGCGGGCGGGCGTAAACAATTTCTTCTGTGCGCAACTCCTTCTACATTTCTCAACGGATTTTGACCAAACTTTCACAGAAGCTTTGTCATCAAGTGCCCTGGCGCATATTGTCGGGGTTTTGCGATTGGATAATATTTGACCTAATTATGGCCCTTTGTTTTTTTTCCTTATATAGAATATATAGTGAACAATTTCTTCTTTGCGCAACTCCTCCTACATTTCTCAACAGATTTTGACCAAACTTTCACAGTAGCTTTGTCATCAAGTGCCCTGGCACATATTTAAGGGGTTTTGCGATTGGATAATATTTGACCTAATTATGGCCCTTTGTTTTTTTTCCTTATAAAGAATATACAGTCGACATTGTATTAAGAGACCACTCAAGGGACTGCCAAAAAGTGGTCTCTTAATAGAGTGGTCTCTCAATAGAATTCTGGAAAATTCAAGACTTTTTTATATATCAAGTCATAGATATGATAACATCTTTTTTATAAAAACAAAAACTGTACAATATTATGTATGTATTACAGTTTCATAACAACATTTATGCCTTTTTTTAAAAAAGTTATCAATATGTGTTTGTTTTTTAGTAGAAATTTGTGTACAAATGTGATCTACGCTCATAATACTAACATGTCATTTTGACCATGAAACAAAGCATATTGTCTTATATTGTTAATATGTTCATGCACATCTCCTGCTGAACAAACATTCAAATCATAAGCCACAGCTCCAGATAATTTTTCATGCAATGAGTTTTAAAACTTTTTGATTTTTTTCATGCAAAAAGTTTTCACACTACCCCGATTTCAAATTCAATAAGGTTTTTAGAGATCTGGGATTTTTTGTCTTTTTTTTGTCGAAGGGTCATATTTAATGGGGTACTACACGTATTTCATAAAGCATCAGATAAGCATCTACACCATCAGCAACGAAAGTAATGTTTAGTTCACTACGTTTCACGGTTTTATTTCGACTACAAACGATGAAATTTGCTTTTAACTCAGACTCAATTCCATGCGCGATTTCCTCATTCAATTTATCGGTCTTTACTCTAATTAGTTGTCTGTTATTTTCGCTCGTTCCGGCGTCATTTTCGATTTGATTTTCTGGAAGGGAGATCACTCTGAGCACATGCGGTGTTGTGATACGTTATTGCTCTGACAAAATATGTCATAATAAATGTTACGATCGGAAAACTGTTTCTTTCTTCCCGATTTTGAAACGATTGCAATTATTATTCAATTCGTTTTTAAACGACAATTATTTGTAACGGTCGTTTAAGAGATACTTTAAAACTAAACACCATATAATTTGTTTGTTTGTTGTACACATCAAACCTACTCGCTGATTACTCAGGTGAGAATGCCCGTAGGCCGATTGTTTGTCAAGGCCGTTTAATAGATACTTTTAACACTTAATTTTGTACATTTGGGCCGACATTTAGTGGCCGCTGGCCGCGATATAAAATCGTCGTTTAATGGAATTAACTTATATAGTAAAAATCATTGGGAGGGATTTTATGCGGCCGCTTAATAAAAAAGTCGTTTAATGAAGGTGGACGCAAGTACGATGCCGACTGTATAGTGAACAATTTCTTCTGTGCGCAACTCCTCCTACATTTCTCCACGGATTTTGACCAAACTTTCACAGAACCTTTGTCACCAATTGCCCTGGGGCATATTGTCGGGGTTTTGTGATTGGATAATATTTGACCTAATTATGGCCCTTTGTTTTTTTTCCTTATACTGAATATATAGTGAATAATTTCTATCGTGCGCAACTTCTCCTACATTTCTCAACGGATTTTGACCAAACTTTCACAGAAGCTTTGTTATCAAATGCCCTGGCGCATATTGTCGAGGTTTTGTGATTGGATAATATTTGACCTAATTATGGCCCTTTGATTTTTTTCCTTATACAGAATTATCAATATATAGTGAACAAATTCTTCTGTGCTGAACTCGTCCTACATTTTTCAACGGATTTTGTTCAAACTTTCACAGAAGCTTTGTCATCAAGTGCCCTGGCACATTTTGTCGGAGTTTTGTGATTGGATAATTTTTGACCTAATTATGGCCCTTTGTTTTTTTTCCTTATACAGAATATATAGTGAACACTACTCAGTGGCAATTCCTCCTACATTATTCATGTTTTACATTGCACATAGTTACATTGTTTGTTGCTTGTATTTGTATTTCAAATACAACATATTTATCTACAATGGTGATAATTGAAAACCTGGTTTCATGACATTGCCATGTTTCTTGTTTCTTGCATATTCTGCCATATTATTTCATATTTAAAATGGTTTACCTCAATATGATATATGTTCATGGAAATTAAAGTCATTTCATCCATAACTATTTTTTTACAATAGCATATGAACTTACAACTTAAATAACAACGGCGAAATGAGGTCATCCTTAGCACATATTTTCCTTCTAAAATGAAGTCATTTTAACGCGGTTCATTCATAAAGTGCGCTAAAATGATGTTGTTGTTTGGCACGCGACTCATCTGGCACCCCCCATGCCAGATGAAATTTCCGGCATGGGTAAAACTCACGGAAATGCCAGTCTGCTATGCAAGAAAGTTGATTCTGGTTACAAATGTTGTAGCATTCTGCATATAATCAGCATTGAAATATTTTATAGAAAGTTTAAGGATCTGACATATAATGTGTGTTGTGATGAAAAAATACTTTCCCTCAGCTGAGACGTGATGGATTTGTTTTTACTGAAGTGCACATGTTACTAGAATAATGAAATTGTAATTATGTTGTCAGTTAGTTGTATGTAACATATATTTAAAAAAAACAAAAACATTTTAATTGTCTGTGTCTAGCATAAAAACATTGGCATACATGGATACTTTAAACAAACAGTATGAAATTGTGAGCATGAATATGAACAAAAGTTGCATTTGCTTCCATTGACTTGCAATTAAATGGCTTTTTAATTTACTTTTTAAACATTTAGTAACATGAAATTAAATATTTTGACGTTTAAAGCAGGGCTTGACACAAAGTTTTAAATTTGTTTCATATGACTTTTGTGTAGGCAATACGGCTAATGTAGAGTTGTCCTGCTTTGTTATCCCTACAAACAAGCATGATGAAATTGTGAGCACTGGGTTATGATTAAACTATGATTCCAACTGCCACACTGACTTGTTAAAATAAACAAAAAAAACATTTTATCATATCATTTTATAATTTTAAGATATTTGTGAAAGCAGGATGAAATTGTGAGCACTGGGTTATGATTAAACTATGATTCCAACTGCCACACTGACTTGGTAAAATAAACAAAAAAAAAACATTTTATCATATCATTTTATAATTTTAAGATATTTGTGAAAGCATGATGAAATTGTGAGCACTGGGTTATGATTAAACTATGATTCCAATTGCCACACTGACTTGTTAAAATAAACAAAAAAAACATTTTATCATATCATTTTATAATTTTAAGATATTTGTGAAAGCATGATGAAATTGTGAGCACTGGGTTATGATTAAACTATGATTCCAATTGCCACACTGACTTGTTAAAATAAACAAAAAAAAACCATTTCATCAACATTTTATAATTTTAAGATATTTGTGAAAGCAGGATGAAATTGTGAGCACTGGGTTATGATTAAACTATGATTCCAACTGCCACACTGACTTGTTAAAATAAACAAAAAAAACATTTTATCATATCATTTTATAATTTTAAGATATTTGTGAAAGCGTGATGAAATTGTGAGCACTGGGTTATGATAAACTATGATTCCAATTGCCACACTGACTTGTTAAAATAAACAAACAAAAAAACATTTTATCATATCATTTTATAATTTTAAGATATTTGTGAAAGCATGATGAAATTGTGAGCACTGGGTTATGATTAAACTATGATTCCAATTGCCACACTGACTTGTTAAAATAAACAAAAAAAAAACATTTTATCATATCATTTTATAATTTTAAGATATTTGTGAAAGCATGATGAAATTGTGAGCACTGGGTTATGATAAACTATTGATTCTAATTGCCACACTGACTTGTTTGAACATTTCAATGTAAAACAATTTAGCAAATTAGCAGTAGTTAGGTATATTAAAACTTTTTCTTGAGCACATATTTGAAGACATTGTCTAAATAAAAAATTCACAATAGTGAAAGATGATGGTATGAACTGGCTAAGGTGATACATTTTGTCACACTTAAAGTAAAATATAGTAGTTTTAAGAGTTTATACTTTTATTAGACAGAATAATAAAAATTGACCTTGAATAAATTACTGAATGAATAGTGTAACCCTGTTTGAAAATGATGTCTTAGTAATGGTGGTAATGATGATTGGAACTTGCCCTCTCTGAAATTACTTGACTGAGAGTTGTTTTCCCTTTTACTGAACCGCTTTGTCAATACTAGTCAATTATAGATTTTTGTTATTTTTCATGGAAAATATATGTATAAAATCTGTATTTCAGATCACACCAGCAAGACCTAAGGAACTTATGTCCATGTCAAAGAGATTGAAGACAGTGTCCAGAACATACGGAGGTTCACGGTGCCACAGATGTGTCAGAGATAGGTTTGTGTACTTTCTTGTTAATTGATAAAATAAGAAAAAAGTTTGCACAACCTAGAGCCCAACAGGTACTTTATAGTTTGTTGGGTGTAGAAATTGTGCGAAAGCAAATTCTACCCGAAACAAAAAAATTGCCTTCTAGGGAATTAGTTTTGGTTAGTACAATAATGGAATAACAAAAAATTGTATCAAACTTTTGTTATGCTCTGGATGTGACGAGGACCATTTTCAATCCTATTGAGTGATGTTTCTATGTCTGTAAGTTTGTATAGAATGCATTTACAAGTTTTATAAGTATGTAGAATTGTACATTTTGATTCTATGAAGGTCTACAAATTTCATTGTTTGAACTTACAGTGTCTGTTAAGCAATTATCTGTAGAGTGGGTTGGTGACTACAAAATATTCTAATTGCCCCTCACTGCTTTGGATTCAAATCCAGCTAGTGATAATGTAACCTTAGAGAACGTTGGTGGTTTTACTTGAGAAAATAATCGGGGGGGGGGGGGGGGGCACTGGAGCTCATCCAATTATTACCTTTAAAATGTGACTTAAAACTAAACAAAATTTTTTTTAACCCAACAGTTTGTTTATACGTATAATAGTAAATGTGTACGACAGTTTTAAGAATTAAACTTGATGGTTATGATGAGTGGAACTTGCCCTCTCTGAATATAATGAATGAGAGTTGATTCCTTCCAACTGAACCATATAATAGCAGTCATAGAAATAAGGTTTACATTTTATAAGCAGGTCAGACCAGCAACTTTCCTGGTAAATTGGGAAATATTATATACCAATGAGAAAATCCACTAGTTGTTTGCTGTAAGACTAGTTTTTACCAACGTAAAATTTGCTGTAAGACTAGTTTTTACCAACGTAAAATTTAGTAATTCCAATGAGTAGGATTTTTCTTAAGTGACATGAGACTTGTTTATATAGAATTGTTTTATCATTAACAAAGGAATTTTGTTTAGAAATTGCAATATATGGTCACATGGTGAATGATAAAAATACTTTCAAAGCTAAAAAAAAATGTGATGTCATAGTCTGACATCTGTATGACTTTCTTGTGAATTTGTTGTTAACCTGTTATTTTGTTAGATAATCAAAATGTGTGTTATGATGAGAAAGTACTTTCCCTCAGCTGAGTCATGATGGATGTTGTCTTTCTGAAGCACAAATGTATATTTTATAATTGATATCAATGGTTACACCAACCACAAAAAAAAAAAATTGGGAAATTTACACTTGATCATATTTCAGGCCTGCTTGAAAGTCTTGCCTGGTAAATAACCAGGGTAAATGGAAAATGAGCACAACCTAGAGCCTATCTGGTGCTTTTATAGTTAGATAGGTGTAGAAATTGTGCAAAATTAAAAGTTTGTGATTACATGCCAGTGTCTTCTTTAAAAATTCTGGCCATATAATTCACAGAACACTATACAAAATTTAATTGAAGGTCATAGTTTGTAGTATGAGGCTATTTTTGTAAATCTTCTTTTCTGAAAGTACAAGGCTTAAAGCTTTGATATTTTGTGTATAATATCATCGATAAATCCACTACCAAAATTCTTTAAAGTTTGCTCCTAATGTCAAAATTAGCCCTTACACAAATAACAGTCTGTCTTTAGGTGAGCGATTTGGGGCCAATTGTCCCCTTGTTATATAATTTTGATAAACCTGTATGTTAAAGTAACAGTTATAGCCTATAAAAAAAATTGGAGCATGGTGAAACGTTTTCAGGCACACATACAGTTTAGATTTAGACTTCTTTACTTCATGAACAGCAAAATGTTGATGATATTGTGAGCATTGGGCAATGATTAGAGAATGATTACAAATGCCACACTGAATATTGCTGAATACATACAAAATGCTGTAATATACATAAAATATTTGAACATTCTTTTATGTTAAGAATATAAGTCATTCTAGTAACACTTGTAACTATGTTTCAGGATCATCCGAGCTTTCCTTATTGAAGAACAGAAGATTGTGGTACGTGTACTCAGAGCACAGGAAGCCAGCAAGAAATCTTGATCATGTTACTTGTAGACTTGGTGTAAATAAAGAGAAAAATCCTAGTTAATCTGTTTGTTGTTTACACAAAGAAATTGGTTGAACATTGTCTCACTTTGCAAGTATTGGGACAGATATAATGTAAATCACTTTGCAAAAGCCACAACATAATTTACTGAAATTTTGATTATCTTTGAATGTATTATAATGACCTTGTGCATGACCACAATAATAAAGAAAACAGAAATTTTTTGAGAAAACCAAATAAAATAAAAGCATTTGTGTCAGTTAATAAGGCATAGAGGCTTCCTTCACTTACTTTTGAAAGTACAAATGTCTGCACATTTTAAAAGAGTAAGCAAAACCTTGGGGATAGTTAATTTGCAATGCTTCAGATATGATCAACAATATGTCTACGTCTTTATAGCCTTTAAGCTTTAAATTTGAAATGTCAATAATTCAAGAAATAGATAATTGGAAAGGCATGAAATTTGTATACATGTATTATGATGTATAAAGTACAGAATGCTAGAAAATGTGGAAAAGGGGCGTTTCCATGGAAGCAGTACATGAATATATAAACAAAGACACTGGCTAAACATGTATAAACTTTATTATTCTTTGAGCACTTTCATTAGAAGTTGATACACATTTAAGTTTCTAACAATCCTGAAAAGTTATTGAAACACTCACTAATAGGGTAGTGGTTAAGGTGTCTGCCTCTCAATGCCCAGAGTGCTAGTTCAAGCTTCACTGGGGTCAAGACCACAGTACTTGTTGGGGACCACCAAACCCGGACAGCCTGAAAGTGCTTAATTAAGTAGTTTCTTTGTTCAGTGGTTGTGATTCACTTTTTGTGTCGCCTCTACGGAGTAGTGGCGACATATAGGGATCACTTCTCCGTCGTCTGTCTGTCCGTCCGTCACAAAACTTGTCCGGACTACCCCTCATAAACTACTGGTGCAATTTCATCCAAACTTTACAGGAATGATCAGTACCAAGTCTAGTTGTGCATATTGTCAGCATTTTCCGGTTCAATGATTTTTGTCAGTTATTGCCCTTTAATAATTTTTATTTTTAAAGTTTGTCCGGACTAGTTCTCTTATACCACTTATGCAATTTCAATGAAACTTTACAGGATTGATCTGTAGCTCAAGTCCTTGCGCATATTGCACGGGTTTTCCGGTTGAATGATTTTTGGCTGAGTTATGGCCCTTTGATAAAAAGGTGTTTTTTTCTGTGTGTTGCCAGATACACAAAAGCTTGTCCGGACTACTCCTCATAAGCTACTGGTGCAATTTTATCCAAACTTTACATGATTGATCAGTACTTAGTCTAGTTGTGCACTTTCCGTCTGTCACAAAATTTGTCCCAACATGAAATTGGCCATTATGAGGCGACACATGTGATTACTGATCGCTCTTGTTTATCAACAATAAGTGCATATTTCTTTTAAAATTAAGTAAATTTATTTCAACCTTCATAAATGGTAATATTTTTACGCTATTTCAAGAATGTTGACATTGAAATTTGGGGGTCAAGAAAGCAATGCCTGACCTCATATACCAGCTATAATCGGTTGCCGAGTGAATAATAGAATATCCAAAACTAAAGCATTTGTTGCCGACATATTGTATAATTATCATGTTAAAAATCAAAACACCCAAGCTTTTATCTGAATTATATCAAGTCGTGTACATATCTGTCCGAACACATGGTACTGTAGTGTGGACAATTCAGGTAATTTTGATACCCTCCTTGTTGAGCCTCGGATACAAGTGTCAATACAATCGGAAATAAAGAAACTAGTTTGTTAGTTTGAAGAACCTAGCTGAACTGTGTCAAATGTTTTGGTCTCTAGGTTAAAAATTATGAAATCTGTACGGAAAAATGTTCCAAGTGTAATTCTGAGATTATAGAGACAGAGCCAGTCCATGTTAGTTTAAGAGGACTCCGGTGTGGTATAAGAACTTGCCATGTTTTTAGCAATTTGTATTTAAAGATGTATTCCTTGAATGTTAATAGTAAATGCATAATGATAGCATCATTAAAAGAACCTTTTAAATTATAAATTTTCATGATTTAGGGGACAGTCTTCTCTGTTATGTTTGGCAATTGATGTTTAAAGCTGTTTTTGAATCCAGATGGTGTTGTTCAAAATCTTTAGTTGTGGACGCCCCATAGGGAAACCACTAGCATCCAGCACTGGGCAATAGGAGCCTGCTTTGTTTGTTACCCAATTGTTTTTGGAATCCTGTTTCGATTTTGGGGTGCATTAATGAGGCACAGTAGGGCACCTGAGGTGTTCAGTAAATCTACAAAGTGACCATATGACCTTCAGTGTTAGTGTGACTTGAATTCAACCAATCAATCGTTTGATTGTTTTAATCTGTAGAATCTTGTATAAGCTGAAAGCATGGATTATGTTTACGGAAGGAGAACATTTTCCAAAGACTGATTTGCATCCACACAAATGCTATAACTATCCCCGCATGCCACACATTATGACTTGAGCCAATGAAATTGAAATTTCCTGAAAATACAGCAACATAGATAAAGTTAATTAATACATTTAAATACAAAATGAAAATCTTTGAGAACTTGAAGGCTTGCTGAAGCAGTTTTATGATGAAATATTGATTTTTTAATGTAAATAAAAGCCCCACAGTTAGAATTCAATATCCATTTGCATATGCTGTCGCTGTTGACAATTGGGAAAAAAAAAATATTTTTTTTCCTTTCAAAGGCATTGAAATGGATTTTAACTTTTTCTGCGATTGACCTTTTCAAAAACCTAGCTAAACACCATTTTCCAGTATGTTACGGATTTAGCTCTGGGGAATTACACCGAATGAAGTACATAACCCAATTACATGATATTTCTGTTTAAGGTGAAAAAAATTGATGTGTTTGAAAATTATCAATATTCATTTAATATCTATTGCAATTTTTTCAAACAATAAATTGTTTATTATGAAAATCAATTAAATTAAAACAGTCGTAGTGGCATCTTCCATAATAAATAGAGATATTTTCTGCGAAAACTTGTGTATATACTTTATTTTTTGTACGGAATTATTCATACAATAATATTTAATTATTTTCTTACAAAGAAATAACTGTTTTATTTCACTTTAATTCAAAGAAGGCCAAAACATATAAGAGTTCATTATTACACTCCATTAGGTGAATTCCCCAGAGCTATGTACAGAAAGTACAGGAAAACCACATTCAGCTAGGTTTTCGAATTCCTGAATTTTGTTGTGCTAAACTACAACATGTTATTTCATTTTGCAGTGTTTGTAATTAATTCACTGTGCATCTGAACTCCTTACTGTGCAATATTTTTCTGACAATGTACCTGCTTTTTTTTAAATAGAAATACAATGTACACATGCACAGGAAGTATATATACTATCTAATATACAAAATAGGCCAAATTTTTTTATAAATTAAAGAAAACTCAAAATAGATTTGTATTATAAAGTTTATTATCAATAGATGATAAAGAAATTTGAACAATGGTTAAAAAAGTTTGTAGTAATATAAGTATATAAGTATAATTCTGTGTTACCTTTGAGACTTAAAACATGTGTATAACAAACAACTCCTATAAATTATCTTCTTTATAAAATGTTCATAGATCACATAATTATGTACCCAGCTTTTATAATGCCCAATCACACCATGTAGTCAGTAGTATATTTCAAGTGATGGACACAATTAAGAGAAGTTTTTCATTAAGAAATTGAGCAGATTTCTTTGATTCATTACTAAAACAACAAGATTACAATGGGGGAAAAAATTCAGTAAATACAGCAGCATGAATGTTGAGGATAGCAACATTATGTATACTGATCAAATATATGTATAGTAAAAAAATGTCGGACCAACTATTTCAACAATGTGATGGGGGTATTAACTACTGAATGGAAAATATTGAAATAAAAGAAAACTTCTATATTCCATGCATCATCAGATTAGATGGACTTTTGTTTAGTAAGAGATGGTTGAATATTGTAAATAATTACTTGACATAAACACATAATATTGAGTTATTGTACATATATGTGTAAAATAATACATAGAATAAAAATGTAAAAAAAAACTAAAGAATATCTACTGAGATGTAACAATTGAATGATCCTATACAATATTTAATCTAATACAATTTTATTGGATAAATGCAAAGAAAAAGGTTGATTTTGAAACATGTTTACACTCTGAAACTAGAAAAATAAGTTTGTCTAGGAATATTTCTCTCTATCAAGCTTACAGAAAAATTCTACAATTTTGACCAACATGGTGTATAGCTACTGTCAAAATGTTCATGTTTTAGTGAAGCCATGTTTCTTCCAAAGTTTGTCCGTTATAATTTAATGCCAACTTCCCTTTCTATCTTTAGGGGTGCTGAACCTTTTTCTTTGTGTTTATCTTAAAATAAATTTTACTATTTTTATAACACATAAAAATATCACAGTAATAATTATGATTTAAAAAAAAGACGCCATATGTCTTTATAATTTCTCAACAACAAAAAACTGACGCAATGTTGAACACACATAACTGACTTTTCTGCTTTTTATGCATGAATGAAAATGAGATTATCTGCAATTTTTAACAGAATAATCACTCTCAGCAATATTATGTCAACATCAGCTAATGCCTCTGACATTTCTTGGAGTATTTGGAGAACATTCTATTCTGGATGTGATATTATACTGATAATAAATTAAATAACAACAAAGATTTACAACATGAACAAAGATGTACAGTCAGTTATTGTCATAAATCAATCATTGCCTCAGTCTGTGTACTAACAATAAATTCAGAACAATGTCATCATATACCACAATATAAAAACAGTCTCAAATTACATAGCACATATTTAAAATGGCACATTTTACTATACTTTTTGAAAATGAGTGAACTTTTTCATTTTGATAACATACTAATTATGTAAAATTATTGCCATTCTTATCTTTATTTTCAACAAACTTGTTACTATAAATAGTAACAAATTTGACTGATTTAAACTAGTTATGAGTGTCAAGTAAACAATTATTTGTTTGCAGCACGAGACCAAAAAGTTATAATCATAATCAGCCTGCATGTGCCAAAAAAAGAATTGTTACATCACATCTGACATCATCAAAAGAAGCTGGCTGTAGGTGGAAGTAGGCTTATTAGTATGGAAGCCTAGATTTTATGATTCCAGATGAGCCAAAATATTTCAAGAAAAAACAATGTTCTAAGATTTTAAGAAAATTCAAAATATTAAATATTCAAGTAATAATATACATGTTATGTGCTATCAAATAAATGATTTTTCATTATTGATCACCATATTTGTACTGTGTTACTAAAGCAGTAAGGGCTAATTTTGCATAATTTGACCCTGTTTGGTAATTTCTGTGGATTGTGTCATTTCCAAGTGTAAATTACTTTACCTTGTTCTTTTTACAACATTTTACTTTCAAATACATTTTCAATTTTTTTTAGGAAAATAAGCATTAATCTGGAGATTTTAAGTCTAGCTTGTGGTCTGAAGGCATGCTTCTTTAAGCCTCACTTGTTTTAGACAGAAATATCAGTCATAAATCATGCTACTTTATTTATCAACATGTGTATACACGTGTCAGAGATGGGCCAGAAAGTGATAATCAGCACTTTTGGGGCCATTTTTCATTTCACTGGCAAATTATCATCTTCCAGCCCTATTCTGCCATATTATCTGCTTATTATCGGGAATAGTTTTTTCAACAAAAAGAATATTGCCAACAAAAAAGACTAATGACATAATTTAGGCATTTGTGATACTTTTGTGTTCATGACTTCATGTTTGATAAAACTAACCACAAAGCACCAGCTACAGTGGTTTAATTTAAAAAGACGAAACCAGTAACAACATATCATCATAAATGCCTGAATAAACCGTAGTTATGTATATTTCAGACTGATATATTTTAGTACAAAAGCACACAACATGAACATTTTAAAACACAATCCACACCATTTTCAGTACAATACTTTTATTGCAGTTTTATTATGCTAAACATGGCACTTTTATACACCCTTGTTTAAAAAAATTAAACCAAAGTAAATTTGATTTTCACTTGAGGATGTTTATGTACATGTATTTAAATTGATAATACTTATACCAAAAATGAATGCTGATTCCTTGTTTCAGACCAAGAAAATGAAATAAAGAAAATAGGAGATTCTCTTAACCAATTTCCATGATTTGATATTTATGATATAATACTTTTTTGTCAAACAAAAACCTATTTTATCAAAAAATGTCATGTTTGTAATGTCAAAACCACTTTTTGGGGCATAGCACTTATAGCCTAATGATTGCTTCCTAGTGTCTTAACCAGTTATTGCACCAATGTGTATTAAGGAAGCCCAACCTGGTGGGATTCAAACCAAAGATCATCAAGTAAGGAGTCGGACAGTCTAAACCTACACCCCTCCTCTTATAATAGAATAATACTTAAATTGGACCACATGAGTTTATACATACTGGAATGTAAATAATAAAATGATTATGATATAAATGATAAGTTCAATAAATTCTCAAAAAAGCCTCTACATTTTGAAACTAGAGATTTAAAAACAAGAATTTGCTGATAAAATTAACAAATAAATCATCCTATTGAATACTGGTACTAATTAGAAGAAAAATACGACAAAAGACTTGAAATATATTACAGATACAAAAAATACAATATTGAGTAATTTATTGGTCAACAATAATGAGTATTGACTTTTACCATTTCTCATTACATAAGCATTTCATGTAGAAATTGTTATTAAGAAATATATAATAACAATGCATATAAAACACCGGTCTTTATTTCTGACATAATATCTTTTTTTCTTTCAAACAAAAACAACAAACAGACAGCTCCAAAAAGGGACATAGTGTTAGATCACTATCAACAGATCAGGACTGAATGTGGGAGGTTGAATGATTCTGAGGTATTCTTTAATTAAGTAAACAACTAATTATCCTGATTTTAGCCAAACATAAAAATGCCATTTTGATAAATATCAAGATATATCTATTCATGCCTTTAGCGTCTCATTTAAATGGGTAGTTTCTTTGCCTGCCATTCAGATACATGCACATTTGTAATTCTGCATATCACATACATGCACAAGTTTGAAGCTACACATGCCATTTATGGCATACCTGATGTGTTGACTACAACAGATAACAGTCATGTCACATTTGATGATCAGGATTCTTCACATGACATTCATGTCACACTTAAGGGTTTAAATATTACAAATTAACTAATGGCATTCATGTCTGCTGAGCAGCTATTTATGACATCACCTTTGAAAGTTTATCTATTACAAGTTCAAATATAACATTCATGTCAGATCTGATTGCAGAGCTACTACACATGACATTTGTGTCATATTTGATGTGTGACAACAACACATAACATTAATACTACTTTTGATGGTTAAACTATTGCAAATTAACGGACAACATTCATGTCAAATCTGATTGCTGAGCTACTACACATGACATTCACATCACATTTGATGGTTTAACAACTACCAGTTGACAATGACATCAAATCTGCAGCTGACATTTGATCTACTACACATGACATTCGTGTCTCATTTGATAATAGAGTAATTCTCGTCCAGCTGAATGCCAGAAAGCAAAGGCTACCACAACAATTATATGCCACCACTGATGACTGCTACCAAGAAAGTTGAATGCCCCTGAAACAGATAATATCCCACATGTAATCACAACAGACACATTTTCTTCTTTGTCATTAATATTAAGAAATACATGACAAATTTTTAAAAGTAAAATAGTTATTAAACTGTTTCATGTTTTATCAATATATGAACCATAGGAAATCTGATAAAAAGATAAGTTGGTAAAATGTTTAATGAAGTTATATGATGATGTATGTATTTAAGACTTATTGTAATAATTTTGTGATATATGACTTATTTGGAATTACTGTTTTCTGTACCTGACAGAATGCATGCATGAAAAAATATGTTCTGTGTGAATCACTGTAGTATATTAACATATTTAGGGGCACTGGATATTATGTACTGATTTTTAGTGTAAAACTCACAGAGACTATGTTAAAACACAAAAAATTTGGGTTCTACATAATATTACATGTATAAGTGAAGGATTCACATAGGTAAAAGCAGTAAATAAATTAGAATATGCAACTAATCTATTGATAATCATTATATGAATAAGAATGTGTTAATAATGAATAAGAATAAGTAAATAATAAAACATATGAATATGTGAATAAAATCACAATGGATTAAGAAATTAGAATATATTGATAAAGAAACAGAATGTTTGAAAACAAATACTAGTTAGAAAAGATAACCCTAACGGTTCATATATATTTATTAGAATAAGTTGATAAATGAAGGAATGTATAAATACATGAATAAGAATATGCTGATATTTGAATAAGAATATGCTCATATATGAAAATGTTCATATACCGTATGAATAAGAATATGTTGTTGTTGAATGAATTAGAATATGATAATACATGAATTAGAATATGTTCATAAATAAACAGGAATATGCTGGCTAAAGGATGACATTATGCTGACAAAATGATGATGAGAATAAGTAGATAAAAGAATTACCTGGGAAAAATCTTTCAGGAAATTTTGTAATGTAGAATGCAAACGCCAGCATTCCTAGTGAGTACATGGTTACAACTTTTGGAATAAACATCTGAAATAGTAAGATTTTTATCTTGTTAGTCTGAAAATTATCTATGTATAGGACTGTTTAAAAAGTCATTCTTAAATGTTCTTGATACAAAAAATAAACAAACTTATCACACAACTGATATCTGATATCATGAAGTTCAAAATGAAAGTGAAAATCTTGAAGTCAATATGTCGAATCTAAAAACTATGGACCTTGTAAATTACAGCATGTAATTACATTACTAGTTTATATAGATAAAGACATGAATATTGATAGATATTATCTAAAAGCTTTATTCACCAACAAGCACACACAATCAAATATAAACTCGAAGGTATACATGAAACTGCTCTCTCTCTCTCTCTTTGTCTAGAACCTTTTGTCTGATTATTCAAATTGTTATGTTTCATACATGTAGGATACCAAGTCAGTAACTAAATGGCAAGAGGCTTTATGATATCACAAGCTAAAAAAATCTTGATAGGAAGTAACTTACTCTAACAATCTCAGCATTCCATCCACCATTCAAGATAAACCAATGGGTGGCTGGTATAACACCATATGCTACAAGACCAATATAGATGGCTATTCTTTGACGAAACCAATGATTTTGAAAATATTGAGGATGGAATTGCACAAATATTATCAAGCCTGTTAATACTGCTACGGTAAATAAATAAACATCTCTCCATATCTGAAATATATTGTAAACTTTAAATATTCATTCTGACATTTTTTTTCCAGCTATTTTGTCATTTTAGATATACATGATAAAGGTAATGTTTAATTCCATGTATAGCTTTCATGTCCCTTACATTGTAACTTTTGTCTTATAAAAAAACCCATGTTTTTAATATTGGATTTGAATAATATATTTATAAATTATCAAACATATTCAACTGGTATGCTAAATAACTTTTTATTATATACTTATATATGAAATATTGAGAAATATTGATGAAATAAAATGTGTATTTTCATTTTCCGTATTTTCACTGTAAAAATTTATTTTTCACTGCAGTGAAACATATTTTCCGTATTTTCACTGGTGTCTTGCGGGACTACTTTCTTTTAAATTCTGCCAGTACACAAAATTAAAGGGAAAGTCTTTCAAATTTTATCGCAAAAAAAGAGAAATATGTATATAATGAACAGAAAATTCAAGTTTTTTCTATAAATACATGATTTATTTTCATCTTGTGGCATGAAAATTATCATATTTCACTCGTGGCTACTGCCACTCATGAAATGTTTATTTTCATACCACTCGATGAAAATAAATCATGTATTTATAGAAAAAACTTGAATATCCTCTATCTATTTTCTACAATGTATCTTCAAAGAAAATTGAAGAGCTATCTTAATATTAATAAAGATTATCTGCAGATTAAAACAGTCACATCAAAATAATCAAATTACAATTTTATCAATATTTTTAAAGCATAAAATCTATTTTATTCCAACAACAACTCATGGAATTCATTTCAACACAAGTATGTGCAAACTTACAGAAAGACAGTAAAATGCATAATGTACAGCTGGAAGGTAGCACCCTACAACACCAATTAAAATGCCTGCCAAATCTACTGCTAACCATCTTTTACTTGCTCTCTCTGAATGGCAGCCAAACATGTGAAATCCAGCAGAACACAACATACAAAACTGAAAAAAAATCAATCATAAAAATTAATACTTTTTAATAAAGATAAGTCTGAATAGGGGATGTGGGACATTTTGCATTAATCTAACAAAGTCTGTAATTTTCATTATCAGTTGAATTTTCGTTTCTCTTGAGGAATCTGAAGACTTCACAATGTCAGAAATGTTTATGTATGTATAAATGATAATTAAATCTAAGATACTTTTTAAGATGTTAACTTAATCATAATGAGAACCTTATGCTTAAATTGATTTGTTCCAACATATATATCTAATTTAAAATATTTTTTTTTAAAGATTTTAAAATGTTGAATTTACATACCTGATAACACAAAAGTCCTATTGTTACAATAATATGGTCTGCCACAGTGCCATCATTTCGTGGAATTTCAATTATATTATCATATAGCATGAAGAAAATAAACAGGAAAAATCCTGCAAGATGTGACCAAATATTTATTGTCTCGTTGGTCCATACAAACATACTGAAAAAAAATGTATAATTAGTACAGGTAGTACAGGGAAGATACAACCTCATGAATACTCGCAAGTATTCATGAGTTTCTAGGAGTTATGATAAAATATAAGTAATTTTTCATGTTACAAAAATGTTACTAAATAACAACAACGTTTTAAAAGTTTACGGTTGCTACAAATGTGTTATAACTGAGCATGAAAGTGTTCTCTTACAGGTCATGAACATTATTAAAAGTTAGTACACTGTATACCAGTTAAATGAGCATACTCTTAGCCGGTTCAGCGAATTTAATTTATGAAGAGGTGCGAAAGCGGTTTCTTCGATCTTATGTCAGTGTCTATTCTAGGAGGGGGGCTGTGGGGATTCACCCATATTTTTGAGAATTCCCCCTATTTCTACAGAGGCAGGGGGAAAATTTTACATAGAGAAAGAAGGAAAAAAATCAACAAATGTAATAAATTCTCACTTTTCAATAAAAATTTCCCGTTTTTCGAATCCTAGAATAGACACTGTTATGTTATATAGTAATTAATGCAAAGTAGACATGGTTCATATATTTAAAGTGGTTTTTATCATCAATATTTTGTTATAATTAAATTATGACGCAAATGTCATTAACAAATATAATATATTGAACAAGAATGTCTATATATTATACTTATTTTGATAATGATTTGTTTGTTATTTGATTAATTATTTTTAAGAAAAAAAAATATTTAAAAAAAAAACAAGAGCTGTCGGTAGGACAGCAACGCTCGACTATTCTTAGTGCTTGATAGTAAAAAAAGCCTTGATTAAAAGGTAAAATTTTCTCAGTAAAGAAAAAGGCAAAATTTTTCTTTAAATCCATATTACAGTTATAGGCCTTGGAGAGAGTCCTATTATGCTCTCAAAGAAGAGTATAAAATTTCAACATGTTTCAAAGCCTTATGTCAATGAACTTTGAAAATATTTGAGGTATTACAAAAACTTTAACGTAAATTCTAAGTCGAAAAAGGGGCATAATTCTGTCAAAATGCTTGATAGAGTTACCTCCTCCTGTTTACAGGTTGGGGTCATGATGGTCAACAAGTACATGCAAAGTTTTAAGGCCATATGTCAATGGACTATGAAAATATTTGAGGTATTACAAAAACTGTAACGTAAATTCTAAGTCGAAAAAGGGGCATAATTCTGTCAAAATGCTTGATAGAGTTACCTCCTCCTGTCTACAGGTTGGGGTCATGATGGTGAACAAGTGTGCAAAGTTTCAAAGCCATATGTCAATGGACTTTGAAAATATTCAAGGTATTACAAACACTTTAACATAAATTCTAAGTCGAAAAAGGGGCATAATTCTGTCAAAATGCTTGATAGAGTTACCTCATCCTTTCCACAAGTTGGGGTCATGATGGTGAACAAGTGTGCAAAGTTTCAAAGCCATATGTCAATGGACTTTGAAAATATTCGAGGTATTACAAAAACTTTAACATAAATTCTAAGTCAAAAAAGGGGCATAATTCTGTCAAAATGCTTGAAAGAGTTACCTCCTCATTTCCACAAGTTGGGGTCATGATGGTGAACAAGTGTGCAAAGTTTCAAAGCCATATGTCAATGGACTTTGAAAATATTTGAACTATTACAAAAACTTTAACATAAGTGGTTACGCCAACGCTCGGGTGACTGCTATAGCTCTACTTATTCTTATCGAATAGTCAAGCTAAAAACAATTTGCAAAGTATTTTAATTTTTTTCTTATTTTAGATTTTTTTAATTAATTTTTTTATATGTTTTTTTGTCTTTCTTCGTTTTGTGTATATACAAATGTATTTAGATTATAAAATCCATAGTTAATTCTTTCTCTTACATGTTTTATATTTTATTTATAACAAATGTTTTCATATTTTGCAGACTTCTGTGTAAACTTTAAATAGGCCTAATATTCTTTTTTTTCAGGTTTTACTATCGTATATACATATAAATATCTTTATGATGTGATCTTTTGTATTGTGTTATGCTTTTATGTAAATATAATTATTCTACCTAAGAAAATAATGAAATAATAGAAACGTTTAAATTAAAGTTTCATATCTATAGGTGAATAAAGAATAAAAACAGATTGTTGTTGTTTATTACATAGAAATCATGCTGTATTCTTTTGAATAATATGCATGTGTCAATTGTTTATATAGAGATAAATTAAGTATTTTCTTTAAAAAAGATGTGTTGTTTATTACGTACAAAAATCTTTGTACAGATTTTTCTTATTTTGGATTTTTTTTATGTTTTTGTCTGCCTTGTTTTTGTGTATATATTTAGATTATAACAAAGTGAATTAATTCTTCTCTTGCGGGTTTTATTTTTTTGTGTATATATGTCCATTTTATTCCGTTTAAAAACATTGCTTCTTCTTTTTCAACTTTTACTATTTGTGAATATAGTTTGACATAGATAATAAAAAGAATGTTTTTTTATACTTTGCAGGCTTCACTTGATGTGTATATATTTGTGTAAATTTTAAATCATTATTCTTTTTTTTTTTAGGTTTTACTTATACGGGGAAGTCAAAGACCGGGCCCGCCAAGCGGGTCCGGGCTTTGTCTTGCCCGGCTATAGACTACACGTGAATATTTAAAAGAAAATCAAATAAAAAACATTTAAAAAAATATATAGAATTCTATACCTATCAATGAAATTTTCAGTGTCAGTTCTAGTCGGGCGCCGCCATTTACAATGTAACTCAATGATAAAAGGCGGGGTATTCCGATAACGGAACAAATCTCAACTTTTCGGATAAATAATAAATGTCGAGTGTTCCGAGTGAAAACGGAAGCGGTGCATGTAATACCGAATGACAATTTTAAAACGGAAAGAATGAAAGGAATTTTTTAACGACTTCCCCGTTCATAGGCTTTGCCTAATTTCATATTATACGTATATATATTCTATGATGTTGTTTGTTCACCGAGATCTTTTGTATTGTGTTATTCTTTTATGTAAATATTACTATTATACTATGCTTTTATGTAAATATTACTGTTGTACTAAAGAAAATAATAAATCATAGGTTTAAATCTCAATATCTTGTCTTTAATTGCATGAAAATGTGTGATAAACCACACATTAAGGCCCACTATAATTGCATGACGTGCCCATTATACAATAGATATTTTTTGCACTATATAAATTAGGTTCACCGAAACCACTACCTGTTTTATTATATAAGATTAGTTCCCTGCACCAGTAGTTCGACAAAACCACTCTCACCCCACAGAAATAGTAAGAGATACAAAATCAGAAACTTTGCTCACACTGAATTTAAACAGCATGTATCATATTTTAATAAAATAACAAGTAGTATACCTTTTCAAACATAAACTAAATGGAAGAGAAACTCTGTATCCTTCTGTTACAAATGGATTTCCTTGCAGAAATTCTGGAATATCTTGGTATTTGTGTAATGTAATGTCTTTATCTTTTAAGTCACAAAGACCAGAACTTAGTGTTTTCTCGAGACTTTCATCAATTTCAATATCAAGAATACTGTAACTTTCATGACGTGTTATCCCACACGTCTGTCGATTTTTCACGTTTTCATATGGTCCTTCGCGTCCCATCATGACTGCACGCTCCACGCTGCAAATAATCCTTTAAGTTCTTGACGGCAGGTGATGTCTTAAAAGTTTCCTATCCTGGTTAAGAACGATGCGTTAATTTTATTTACTTCATTGATCGTTGGAAAACAATATGTAAAATGATCAGTTAACATTTGAATATTTGATATGTCAACCTTATGTGTTACTAACAAATTACAACAATGGATTAAAGTTCAATATTCAAGCAGGATCTTGTTTGTATTTGTTGTTTCGCCATGACACCGGTTACCTCTAATTTGGAGAGTATCTAAGAGAAGTGCTAAAAACCGTTACAATGGTTTTCCGGTATAAGCAAGGTCGACAACTAATTTTTTAATCTTTTTTTTCGTTAGTTAAGAACTATGTTGACATTAGTTTTAAGAATATAAAATGTCCCTTTTCTTACCTATTGTATTTCAAGTATTTGAAATGTAGTTGCACATTGCCACAAAAACAACATTTTGAAAATCTATGTAGACCTTTGGTTTGATCGGCAGTGCTCAATCTAACATATAAATTTGAAATACCCTATTTTATTTACTTATTGTATATCACTGTGTGTTTTAAGCCTAAATGAAATCATTCAATCAATCTACTTTAAACACTTCCTTCTTTTTTATTTATTTGAATATGTAACAAAATATGTTTATGACTTATAAAATACATAACAATAACAAAATGAAAATCCAATACCATCATAATTCCATGACAGATTACAGTTTCTTTGACGAGAGACATATTTGCCCAGCCCTAAAAGATCTGATAGTATATTTATGTTATCTTATAAACCGTAAAGAGACTTTTTAAGTTTTTTGATAGTTAATCAGAGATGAACTTAGTCGCAGAACTTTTGTTATTTGTTTACACATATTACACACGCCACACGTACATTATTGCACGAGTAACTACATGACCTAACAGAAAAGAGTAATAGGATTTTTTTTGTTTTTTCGCTCCACGTCATTTTTTTTTTATAATTCGTGTTCTTTTTCGACACCAAGTACTAATCATAGTAAAGCTAGGTCATGGATAGTTAATTAGTTTACTTAAATTGAGCAAGGACTTGCTGAAGTGAGCATTTGACCGTTTATATGCTATCACTTTCACGTTAGCGGGTCTGAGTGTGCAAACGAAACATTATCTGTCTAAAATAAGTATTTTTTATTTACAATGAGCACTACTCAGTATGTATTACTAGCACGAAAGATTTCGCCATTTTTTTCTGAAAAATCATTAACACTTTTCAGTTTTTATCACTCAAAAGTGGCGAGCCATTTCATAGATGGCTGTGATAAGTGCACGCCGCCATTCACCAGCACCGGGTTAAACAGAACTCAACATTTATACTTGAAAATGATGAAATTTAAGAAATAAGAAACATCCACAGATCTGGACAATTATAGAACCTTCAAACTGACACTTTCATGTCAACTCGATTAAAAGATATCAACACATACTTAATTTGATACAGAAACTTTATTTAAAAAAAACTTAACAATAATTCGATTATAAAAAAATAATAATGAAAAAAGTCCACCCAGAAACATTTGTAATTCGTAAGTTAACGTCCCTGGTGACCAAGATGGGGAAATAATTTTTTTGTTAGATGAAGGAAGTATTGTTCCCATTCATGAAGACTCACTACATTGTCGTCTGTAATAAAAAAAAACAATAACATTAGACAGAAGGTTGACTAAACAATTAAGTATATATATTTTTTTGGAAGAACTTCAAACTTGATATAAAAATAGAAGAAGAAATGTATACTGTTTCGTAAAATTCCATGCACAAATCTGTTACATTTTGTGACGCATTTTGTGACGTAAATGTTATATCGTACAACATAATTTCTACAAATATGACCTGAAGCAGACCATTACTCATTTAGGCAAATTCATTCAAATCGAATCGTATACATACGGAAAACTTTGCCGATGTATGACGAGAAGGGCCGAGCAGTTGCGATTCATACCAAACAAATAACATCTGAACATAGTTAACTTACGACTGTGATCTATCATGTGGAATTCCTGAGACATGTCGGCTGTGTTTAGGCAACCATCACTATCGTGGTCGTAGTGGGCATATAATGTGCTAGCAACAGGACAGGAATGGACGCTGAGATATTCTGCTAATGTTACACATGTGTCGTCTGCAAAATTTAACACGTGAAATACGATGACAAAAGAACCATACCATACCAGTGACATAATTTGTACGATTTGCTAAGTTCCTGTCGAACGGTTTTAAATACTGATGCAAAATAAATGTGTGCTATTTAATTACATGCACATAATTCTCTTCATTAACTGAAAAGTTAAACAAAATAAAGCTTAATCAGCAGAAACACTTAAAGTTTATGCTTGCATAAGGAATAAAGCAATTGTTATTCTTTTTTATTTTAACATATTCAGAAACTATAGCTGTTTATAACAATTCAAGAAAAAAAGAATAAGAAAAAAGACCAGCTAGATTTCTAAATTGCTCACTATTAACGTCTTCCCGGTATATAGTAGCGTCCCATTCTACTTCCATAACACTACCATCCTTTGGGGAGTGATCATATCGGGCAAAACTCATATCCAAATAATGTCTCTGTTCATTCGTATTTATTCTGATAAACAAGAAATTATATAACTGTAAAGACAACAGAGGAAGTAATGATATAAAGTTTTACACATTTTAAAATAAACTTGAATTACCGTACAAGAGCATTATTCAACTTGGCTGCATGTGTCCTGTAGGCCTGCTTTAGTGTTCTATGTGTTTAGCAAGAATAAAATCATAAATAAATGATCGTGCCACCAAACATGCACGTGAAGTATAATTGAAATATGAAGAGGTTCGTGTGCATTAACTTTGAAAAAATGTTGTTTTTTTAAATATAAATTGATACTCACGCATTAACTGCCGAGAGGGCGCAAACCAATAAAACCACTAACATCTTTTAACTGGAATAAAAAAGAATAGCTTTTATTTTTGAAAGTTGTAAAAACAGAAGAACAAAATAGAATAAAAGCTTTACAACATAGGTATTGCTAAAGTTACAGCATTCGACAGGACGAGATTGGAAAATAAACTTACTTTGTGTAGATCTTTCAGTCTTAAATGTCATGTTCAGAGATAGAAGTCCGCTTTTATAACAGAACTTATCACTGGTGGTCACGTTTTTATGTCCACACAGCAGAACAACTGTTCGTCCTAAACACGTGCCAATTACTTACATAATGTCTATTTCAATCTTTCTCACTTCAAATTTTTAAAAAAATAAAATAAAAAGAGTTGGAGAAAAATTGTCAGAACATATGAATATGAATGAGCACTTGACATTTCTGCATTTGGATATTCAAAATGTGATCTAATTCTTATAACAGTGTATAAAATAATGTATATTCCGCCCATTGCAATAGTAAGTTTCAAACTTCGGATAAGGTTATCAGCAAGGTGGTTCGAATGCACGCATCTTCACTTTTTTACAGGAAAGCATAACAACCGATTGCATAAATAAATGTTCGTGGATTTCAAACCACTTGTAACTGTTGATTATCCTGAATCTATTAATTTATATTTTACACGTACATTCCATATTTTTTTCTTCAGAACTAATTAAACACATGCATATATAAAGTCTTTTTTTTTTTTTTTTGACAAGACGGGACTGAAAATACTTTTTTATGATAAATGTTTCATTTGATGTAAATTTAGACCAGTATCTTATGTTAATCTCAAATAATCGCTTAATCCGTTTTCCAGAATAATTATTCTAATTGTGAAAACAACGCTTTCCATTCGATCGGACTGAAAATGACACAAATAGGAATTTCAATTTATTTCCGAGTACCGGTATATTTCTTAATTACCTTTTGCACATATCTTTCTGTTTTAAGTGCCCAGGCCAAACTTTGTAGGAATTTCAAATTTATGTGTCCTCAGTGTAGGTCCTTTAAATAACAACTGGTCAATAACAGCATTTATACAGCTGGAATATTAGTAGACGTAGAAACAGTAGATTGTGCATGTGCTGCTGGTTTGAATAAGTGGTCTGATGGAAACTGCTTTTACGGCCGGTATCGAACTTAAGTCACAATGATATAGTTTAATTTCTATAGATAAATTATCTGTACCAGTTATACTGGGCACGTTACTATTGTAATTAGCTAACTTCAAATGCATGATACGGGAGAATAACCTTGTAATAGTTAAGGAATTTGTTTACAAATATAGGTACATTTTCAAACGTAGTGCTGATAAACTAAGAATAGCATCACGTTGAAGATTTCTTATCTTTGACCAAATGTGACCATTGCAATTATATAAGATATACATTTTAACCTTAACTGACAAGGACAGGAATTGTCACAAAACAAGGTTGAAATCCTGCCGGAAGTCTCAGTTACTTACATTTGAAAAATCAAATAAAGATAGGAGATAAAGTGCCCAATAGCAAACTCCTCCAATATGCCAGTGCACTTGGTGACAATAGGTCTGTGAACATTTTGTTTAAATCCCATAGGAAATGTAGGGGGAGAGTTGCAAACAAATGAATATTTTTCTTTTATATTAAGTATGACGATTATAGTATATCTTAAATTAGACAATATGCACCAGAACCATTTGGGAATGTTTGGAGAAATGTAGGAGAAATTACGCATTGATGAGAATTTTCCTTAAATATCACATACCCGGTACTAAAAAAACACAACAAAAAACAAAGGTAACAAATATTCTATCAAAATGATCAAATCACAAAACCACGACAATATACGCCAAGTTACATGGCTAGAGCCAGAGCAGCCTGAAAGGCCGTGTAGTCTGATCAGCAGATACCTCTAAATTTCATATTCAATTACTGCGAGTTTAAGAATCTAGAAGGGGATACATGTATTAAAATTATACATGCGTCGGTTATTTAGAATTTTGTAGTTGTTTCAGCAAAGCGTTTTTTTAACGAGGATTTGTTAACTACGGATAAACACACAACCATGTGCATGAAGTTCCTAGCTATCACTCTGCATAACCAAAGATGAACTGTTTCGACGTATTATTAAAAGTATGCATTTACTGTCGAGCTTGACGATTTGTTCCAATTAATAAAAATACGTCCTAGCATTTTAAGCCCATTATGTAACACCATTTGTCGTTAAACAGCTGCATTTTATACCATTTGATAACTATGGGGCACCAGATGGCGCGTACCAATATCAAGGAAATGGCGCACAAGTTAAAGTTGCATGCCTCCAGATGAGCAGTCGATCTTGTGAAAATGTATTAAGATTTTAAGAAAGGTGCTGTATAAATATTTACAATTAAAGTAAAAAATTACATGTTACATGCAATAAATGACTGATTTTGCATAATCTACCACATCTACTGCGTTACTATAATGTATGTATATGACATTTACAATAGAAAGTAACGTAAATTACTTAATTATTTGTGTTAATTACTCTCTATGTTCATTGAAAATTGTTGACTTTTTAATACATTTTCAAAATTTTAATGAAAAATAGCATGCGTATAGGAAATAATGTATTTAATTTATTCTTTTTAATGGCGGTTTAGATATTGTTTATTCTGACGATTTGGTTATCTGATAATTCCGTCCATTTGGTCTGATATTTGCACCACCTGTATGGGATTGGTTCTAGGCATGTTTTCAGAAGGAATACATGTACGTGTGCACGCACGATTTTATAATTAGTATCGATTGTATACCGGGTAACACTCATCTAATTTTCTATTGACATAAAAATAAGGTTTCTTCAGTGTTACCGCTTGTGGCAAATGATTATAGCAAATGCATTTAGCGATACTTGGTCTACAAGGACTTGTTTCAGCAGCTTATAAAAAGCCCTTTTATATACTCACGTGCATCAACTCAATCATGAGAAAAATCATCATCAAAAATGTCGAGATTTACAGAAAAGAATAAAACAAATTCAAACTATGAATCTTTTGACCAGCTGGCGGTGTCCGAACTGATTCTGAAAGTATTGGCCTCATAAAGTACACTCGGACGACGAGGACTGGTACAAGGATAAGTAGCAGGAACGACAATAGGTGCCAGAGCCCCAGCAACAAACAAGACCTTTGGCGCCCATAGCTGACAAAACAGGCTATTGTCTCATAACTTTATACATATCCTATACATAATTTTGATCATGCAAGTCTTTGTGCGTTTGATTTCGATGGTTTATAATCTTTTTTAAATAACAAGACATTTTTTAAAGTTTACATTGCTGGGAATATATCATGCACAAAGCTTTGGTACTTTATTTTGTTTTCCTCCTTTTAACATTAAGTATGGTTAAATAATAAATCAACACTTTTACACTATTTTGATTATTTATTGCTGACATAATATAAATATATTTTATATATAAATCTACAAGCATTTTTTGCCTGGAAACTACACTATCTGTGTGAAACACCAGTTTCTAGACTAATTGGCACAGCAATGGAAAATGCAACTTAAAAATCAGCACTGGTTTTAACATGATCATCTCCGGAGCAAAAGAAAAACAACAAATACACAAAATTTGAACTCAGAACATGCGATTTAATTCACATTTAATTTTGTAATTTTCAAGATTCAACATATGGGTGACATATCTTTAATTACTTAATAAATACAAATATGGCTGAATTTGCAGATGTCAACAACTGTGTTAAGCTTTAGTATCTAAAGAAGTAGAAGCTAGATCTGCCACAGAAGTGATGAATAGGCCTACCCCCATATCTCTATAACACAAATTAATATGAAGGTTCATTCATATGATTTTTGTAGGTGAACATTTGACCTAAATCTGAGGGAGGAAATTTCCTTCAAGGGATATAAAATTTATACTGCATACACAAAATTTCAAATGTGAACATGACCCAAAACAGTAGTGACATTGCTTCTGTATAACAATTAACTGATATCATATGAGCCAGATTTGAAGAAAATCCTTCAAGGTGTAGGCGGACAAGATATTTTATAACATTTGACATTCAAATATGACCTTGTACTACTACAGCATGGGTTTGCATATGACCTTGTTGATGTCAGAATTTAGGGCAATATTGAAGAAAGTTCTATAAGGGGTAAGGTATCTACAGAGTGGACATGAAACTGTCTGATCTCTGACCTTCACATGACCTTCATCTTGAGCAGGCACAGTGGTGACATGGGTTCTACATATTGTTGAGGTCAACAACTGAACCCAGTTTGAACATTTATATTATGAACATTTCTGACCATTAACCTTCAAGTGTGACCTTGACCTGGCACATATGTGGCATGGATCTGTACATTGCCCAATTGAGGTGGACACTCGAGCCAAAGCTGGAAAAAATCCTTCAAAAAGGAATAGGATTTATAGTGGACAAGGTGGCGATTCAGAGACTGACAGACCAACCAACACAACTAAGTGATTCTAGTACAAACCCCATCCATATTTATGTGGTAGGGGCAAATGAATTAGTCACGATTTAGCCTATAATTATATATATGATAAAAACAGGACATCTATGACAGCATAGAGACAACATGTTTGAGCCAGTGCATACATAAACAAAATAAACTGCATTAGATAACATTTCCATACATATATTGCATTTCCTCTTACAAAGTGATATAAGATGAAATAAATTTTAAAAATCTAATTAAATGAAAACTGGTAAATTTTATGAACATATTGTAACTCTATGAGCAAAAATCATGTATGAATATATGAATAAAACAAACACATACTGGTTATAAATTCTGAACATAAATTTTTACTAATGATACCATTCTTTGGTATGGGAACAAAATTTGATAATTTTGTATACCATTCACTCAGTAAAATAACATTTATAACCCATGTAGCATTTTTAACTAAAATCCAAATGACAAATTAAATAAACTTTCATATACACATGTCTGCGTCTTAAAGGGCTTGAACATTTTTGTCTCCTGTTGTAGTGAAACATAAAATCACTGTGTAGAACATATAAGATTCATATGATTTTATATAAAAAACAACACAAATTGACAACATATAACACCATACATACTGTAAATCTTAGCCAAAAAAGTATAACAAAATCAAACTATTTATTTGCCAAGCATATATGACTGGAATAGCTACAGCAGTAGAATTTTTAACTTACAGAAAGCTAAATAATTGATCTCTATTTTATTGATATGATTTTTACTGGTCAGACATCAATTCCAACTAAATTCAATTAAAAACAAGATATTTCAGAGCCTAAAAAATGACATACCTATGCTGAAATGTTCACATGAGCTTACTATACTTATGCAACAAACAAATAAAAAAAGTGACAAAGAATATATTGCATGAAAATGAAACCTTAAAGATGGCTCTAAAATGTTCCATGTTAAAAAGAAGGTAAAATTCAATGTATTCGTAACACAAAACTGACTTCGGTCCCATATCATAATAATAAATGACAATTAAATGACGAAATTTATTTAATTTGAAAATTCCAAGGTCAATGTCATTAGGGGAAAAAAGGTCATGTCTACATGAAGCTCTCATTCAAAGATTATAATGTTGTATTCAAGTATAAATGCTCTTAAATTGTCTGTTCAGATACAAAATGATTGATGGACAGACAGAACAAATGAATAAACCTTAATCTTTTACCTATGTGTGTATGTGGGTATAAGTAAGGGGATGGCAGGGGTTTGTTTGCAGGCATAAAATCATTATGAGCAATACATACCTGAAAATAGTATGCAAAAAATGATAACAGGAATAAAGCTGTTTAAGAATCAAAAACACTTTTTTGTACACGACTAGCAGTGACACAGAACAATAACTTAATATAAGCATTTAAAACTGTATAAAACAACAAAATAAAAATAAACAAACTTAAAATTAACATAAGATAACACGAGTGAATAAAATGTCTTGAGACAATCATATACCCAAAAATACAAATTACTGGATCACATCTTTACCTGAGAAATAACCTCTATATAAACCTCAAGTAAAATCCATACTTCTTTGTGCAATCATATAGATGAGTAAAAAATCTTTCTATGTTCACAAATTGCATATATACAAATCTAAAAACACCCACCATTAAAACATGTTGGCATCATGAATTTGTGTTAGGACTTAATAAATGCGTTGACAAATATTCTAAATCAGAATTCATAAATTTGACAATTATAATAAAATGTTATACTGCAGAAGAAAATATTTTTTAAAAACTTAATTTGCATTTTACTACTTAAACTGTGACTAAAATAGTGTTATTTAATATGAATTCACCAAAGAAAAAGCTAAAGTAGGAAAGTTTGACCCTCAGGTAAATGTATGTAAAGTCAGTGTTTCACTAGAATGTAATACAACAATATTTGCATCAACATTATACATACTCAATTTTTACCCTCCACACTTCTCCCTACAGAATATAGGCTTCTGACTAAAGAATCCATAAAACCATAGACTTCTTTCTGATTAAAAATTCCATAAAACTGACAAAAGAGAAAAAGTCAAAGCACAGACTAGTGAAACAAAAAAGGTTGTCTTTATTGATAATTTTGGTAGTTCTTCTTTAAAAGATTATGTTACACTCTAATATTTGTAAAATGAACCTCAACTTTGGTTTACACACAAACTGTACACAATAATAAATAGATGAAACTTATATCCATGAGCGAGAGATCAGAATCTACTTGTACTAAGTAACCCCTAGCAAGCTTGCAGCAACCAGTATAGAACCAGGCCTGCCTGTATGACCATACAGTCTAACCGTAACCTATTCTGTTGACTATTAACACTTACCAGGCTAAATATCTCAAATGAACTTGTCCATCTTTTAATCTGAACAGAACTGTTCATTAATCTTTAGGGATAATTTCAAAATAGTTACTGAAATACAAACAGTGCAGAATGCAGAGTGCTCAAATGTGCCCACTGATCATGGTCTGCACTGGTTGCATGGGTAAATTTAGTTGCTGCCAGGAGGCTAAAGGTTAAATTCTATCATTTTAATATTGCAATCCTCCAACTAACAACTCAAAGGAGGACCAGTCTATTAAACTAGTGATGAATCATGACCATGATTAAAGCTACTGTATGAAAAATAGATCTACCATATGACACAAGATTATATTAACAGCACCATTGGTTATGGGTAATAATAATACAATCAATACCATAAAATCCTTTTACATAAATGTACAATATGCACAGTTTCTGTTTAAAGCTCTAACGAAAGAAAAAGATTTAGAGTATTAAAACAACAAACAGGCATATTGGCAACATCAGTGCAACACTGTCATTACTTCTTTTCTTTATAAAAAAAGCTAACCTATGAAATCAGTTTTTTATGTATTTAACATTTTATACATTTTTTACAATTGTAACAAAGAGTGCCTTAATTATTTTAAAAACATGCATACCTGTATTCAAAGGGTTTACCAATGTTTTAGTGCATGTTTCATTAATTTTCACCAAACCTCAAATTTTCATATACATGTATGTTTAACTATGTTGCTTTGGTAAGATTTTTAGCCCTATCATACATTTATTATGTTGTTTTCAGACAGCCTATATCTAGTTCAATAATGTTTAACTCTTTCAAATGCTATGCACAATAGTCATATTTGCTTTGAAATGCCACCAATAGAATCAGGTCTGCCTTTGTTTTGTCTGACAGAACTCGATACTGTTGGATTATTTATTTTTTTGATAATGAAACACCTCTAAAATAACAATGTACTGCTCTTAATACAAAGCAGGAACAGTTCATTTTATGTATTTTGTGGAGTTAGGTTGAATAAATGACAGTGTTGCAAAGAATATTTAGTAATTACAAGTGTAACATGTTTAATGACAGTAATGTTACCATGTTATATAACTTTAACCTTTATGACCCTGACCTTCATGTAATCAAATTATCTCCCAGTAACATTAAATTTCACATTTTTTTTAAGTTTATCCCCAAACAGATCCAAAATCAATAACATATGAAAAATTTGAATCCAATATATGAGGCTTATTTTCCAAAAATATAAGTTGTTATATGAGTTTTTTGTGATGTATCAAAAAGTCTTAAGATGGTATATAAAAAGCTGCATAAAACAATCAAAATAAAATTAGGATCATTCATTCCTGTGAACACATGGCTGCCAGAGTCTTGAACATATCTTGTACAATATATATGTACTTTACAAGACATGATAAAGGTATAGTTCCAATATGTCAAACAAGAATGTGTGCAATCCTATACATTTCTATCACAAATACTAAAGTCTGAAAATAATTCCAAGTTTTATGCCCAGCATAAAGTAAAATTTATGACATTTTACTAGCATAAAGTAAATTTTACAATATTTTACTAGCATGAAGTGAACATTACCACATTTTACCAGCATACAGTAAATTTTACAATATTTTACTAGCATGAAGTGAACATTACCACATTTTACCAGCATACAGTAAATTTTACCATATTTTAGCAGTATAAGTAAATTTTACCACATTTTATCAGCCAATTCAGTGTTTATTACTACATAATTCTGATTAAAGTACATGTACATGAATTATTACTTATATTCTCTATTCAATGCAGAAAAATGTCTTGACAAGCAGAAAACAATCCTTGGTATCTTCTTACAAAATCTCAAAACAGGGACATTACCCTGTACACGTTTTTATACTTTTTTATTAAATCCAGAAAAACATGTGAAAAATGTTGGAACTAGGTACTGTATGAACATAATATAAACTTCTCTGAAAATTGAATGTGTGAAAAAAAAAAAAAAAAAAAAAAACACGTATAAGTATGAAAGAAAGACATAACTCACAACTATATCTCGTAAAGGTTAAACTACTCTTTCACATAGTCTCACAACCAAACTGATATATAAATGTCACAATTGTAAAGCATGTATATAAGAAAAAATATTTTTAAAGCTAAGTTCATTAAAAAGAGAAACATGAATGGATAGGCCCGTAGGTAATGTTTTCCCCCATACACGTCAATAAAGCCATTGCAAAAATACATGTAGTTTGGAATATATTTTAGATGACATAATGATTTGAATCCTGTTACAACTCACTGTAAAGTAAATAAAATCTTCATCGAAGATAAAAAATCATTAACCTTTACAAGCCACCAAAAAAAAAAAAAAAAAAAAAGCTTTGATCAACAAATGTTTAACCCAAATATAAAATATACAAAAAAATATTTATCGCAAGAAATAAGTTAATTGTTACAACGAAATAGCACATTTCACATACCAGTATAAAACAGCTACATTTTAAATGTTTGTAGAATCAACAGAGCTTGTACTCTGAGCTGCAGCACTTGCCGAACTTTGTTTACGATCAAACGATTTCAGAGAGCCAAGCCTTTCTTTTGCACTAAATGAAGGTACCGACTGAAATCTGTCACGCCTTAAACTACCATCTCTGCTTATAGCATGTTCTTTTCTTGCCTTCTGAGCTGCCCTTGTAGCAACCATATCAATCATTGAGTATTCAATAGGAACAGGTTCGGGAGTCTTTTTACCTTTTTTTGTCTGCCGTACACTCGCAAATCTTGGACTATCTGATGTAGTAGTCAAGTCCATCTCGGCATAATTTAACTTCCTTAGCTGTGAAGCATTATCATTCTTCCCTGACTCACTCAGATCAATCTCTGCATAGTTTAACGATGATTCCATCTGGTCAAACTGAGAGCCAGAACTTGATGGCAGTAATGGAGATTCTGGAGGAGAGCTTTCTGTAAAATCTATATTCATATATAAAGCCCTTGGTGATTGCAGACATTCACTTCTCAGACTAGCTGTACACAGGCTCACCTGTTCCGAGTGTGATAGTTTAAACACTTTAGGAGATTGAGGATCTCCTTGACCACTGACCCCGCTGCTTAACGATGCAGTCCCAAAATTGTCAAATGTAAACACTGAGCCTGTGGCAGGGGACTGAGGAGTTGTTAGAGGACTTGTACTACTTTCATCAATCGTTCTACGACGCTCAATTTTCTGGTATTCCTTACCAGACCTTGGACGTAGTATGGTGGAGGCAGGACTACTCCGTACAACTTCCTCACAATGGCAATAACTATCCAAAGAGGAGAGAGAAATGCTGTCACCTTCTCCGACATCACTGATATCTACAACCAGAGTGGAACTTTTAGTCTCAGCAGGCTGCTCTACAATCTCTGTAAATACACAACAAAATATCCTAGAACATCTACAAAGAAAAACAAACAGGAACATCTTATAAATTATATCACACAAATCATCTTGACAGTTGGTTCAACAACAAATTGATGCTTCAAAAATAATTTTCAATTTATTTTAAATAGAAACAGATGTACTCCATGCAATTTAGTCTAGAGTAAAGCAATAAATGTTTTATTATGACATAAACTTGCTGCAAACAGGTGCAAAGTTTATGCGAGTGCATCAGATTCTGTAAATTCAGCTATAAACCAGATTTATATCAAACTCACTTATAAACTTAGATAAATTTAATTTCAAATTTAATTCAGAGAAATTTTATTTCAAATTTAATTCAGAGGAGGTCAAACATAGGTTGAAAAATTTTAATTATAAACCTACAGCTCACTACCATAATCTCTTGAAAGGGACTGTCTAAATTTGACAAAAGATTAACTTAGATCTGACTCAGCAATTCTATGATTATGATCACAGACTGATTCTGTAGCTGGCTTTTACAAAGGGCATTGCTTTTATGTTGTTTTTCTTTTTGGTTTTGAGTAACATTGATACTGTTAAGAGAACACAACCGCAATAACATCTTTCCTGATGGAGGTTAACCTCAGGTTCCCCTTCTGGTATTGTTTTAGGTATGAAAGAGTGGGCACCTGGCCAGAACCACCGGCCGTCTATGTGTTAGCTGGATAATTTATGCATATGACAAAATTAAAAGCTCCAGGCAAGATTTGAACCCAAAGAAATGTGGATTTGTTTTTATTATTAGAGACCAAAATTCATATTAAATCCTAATTGTATTCAATTAAGAAATAACATCGGCCTGAGAGGTGTATATCGGCTATTTAACACCGGTTTGGAGTTTTGATGCGTAGGCATTGACCACGAAGGCCGTAGGCCTGAGTGGTTAATTTTGTCGCATCAAAACGACAATACGGATTGGCGCCGTTTTGTCAAAATATTTATTAACTGATATGGATCTAATATGTGGCGTTAGTGTATGTGAGATATTATTTCGGTATTGTATGAAAAGAAAACATTATAGCAGGGCTCACGCTGTCGGTCGCCATAGTCGCCATTTGCGATTATTTTATAAGATTGGCGATTATTTTTGCATTTTGGCTACAAAATCTGGCGATTATTTTTTACTTCCAACAGTGTTTATATAAGGTGTAAAAATCGATAATGAATGCAGTAGACCCAATTAACACCAGCGGGGTGCATTTAATTGAGTGTCAACTTTTTACCGGTCACGTGCTGCTAACTATATTGCCCGAGGTGATAAAATACATGCGAGATGTATAATTGTATAAGTACTTTAAAGATATTGTCCAGCATTTATAATAGCCATCAAATATCCGTCAATTAGCCACAAAAATCGTTTTAAAATTGATAAACTGGATATTGACTTACCCAAAATTTACCGTGAATTCAAGTAATTGCAAATTTTGATTTTTTTTTGTTTTAAGCTACTTGACTAAATCGCCAGTGGAAAACAATGGTAAAATATTTAAAAAGTATTAAATTCCAAACAACTATTTGCACAACAACCAAAATTATGAATATTTCTTCAGAAAACAGGAAAAATCCGATTGTCACATATTTTCGCGACACCGATAATTTTGATATTTATTTAAAGGTGAAATAAGCTATGTTCTGTTTAAAAATCTTTACTACTATGGCAGAAAATTTGTATTACATTGGTGATGATGATATTTTTCAGTAAATTATTCAGAAAAAAGGCTGCATTCTGTGAATGAGTTTGCAAACTTGTGTTATTTCTATAGGCTAATATGACCTAGATCTACTCCAGTTCTGTGTGAAATGTGGAAATTGACAGTGGTTATAGCTGACAAAATTTGATTAGAACAAACAAAAAAAGTTGTCTGATAACAGCATTATGTAAAGTTATAATGAATTTTTAATATTATTGTTATACAGTAATTATACTAATTATAACTTTTTTATTCTGTTCTATAATAACAATTAAAGTTGTGGTTCTATTTAAAAAAAGGTAGTTATCAATATACACAAATGTATTAGTTTATTTGAGAATCCTTATAAAACTGAAAGATATAAATGTAATGTTTATTTAATCAACTGCTTATGTTGTTAATCGCTAATTCGTGAATAGTCCGCTGAACTTTTGGCTATTATTTTTTTAAGTTGAAATTATTGGCTATTATTTTATTTGAGCCAGTGTGAGCCCTGATTATAGGAACTGAAAATATCAATAAAAATGTTTTTTATTGTTGCTTTAAAATGCTTTGTAAACTATACAATCGAGGGTGAAAACATAACAGCGCATATACAAGTAGTCCCTAACCGGTGTTTATTGGCAGTTTAACACCAGTTTTTTTCCTTCTTTGTCTATAGTGACAAAATCACGTGAGTGTTAGAATATAGGTTTGACAGTTGTGTACTCAGCCTATAGAATTCAGTTTTGTACTCAACAATGTTTAACAACCTCAAACTATCTTATCATACTTAGTATATTATATTAATTAATGTTATTAATAACATATTCTTATATCTCTGTTAGAAGCCAGCAATTTTTTAAAAATACCAACACTTAAAATTTACCTTCAACATCTTGTGCAGTTCTTGGAATCCAGATTTTCCCGTTCTCATCTTCTGAAGGCGGGGTTATTCGTAATGTTGCCTTAGCCTGCTGCTTCATCAGACTTGGACTCAATACCGGAGATTCTACATTACCAGAACTGTATAAATCCAATGGCTCTGGTCTTTCCTTCTTTGGCGTTGTTCTTTCTAGCACCGGAGATAACTTTGTTGGGTAGGTTTTCATTTTTGGAGGAACGAAGGGTGGCAGTGAAGAAATATGGCGGGCAATTGCATTTGCTTTCTCATCTGGGGAAAGTTCCTCTAATGGAAGAGTTAATTTTGACTTCAGATCTGAGATTTTGTCGCTCTTCTCAGGACTTAAAGAATGAGTTGAATGCCACAAGTCAATGAGTTTTTCATCATCTGTTTTACATGCATTATTATCAAAATTACCACCTTGTACATTAAGCACTGTAAACACTTTACCAACAGCTTGGTCATCAGAACATTTCTCAACACTTGTTTCACTTGTCTCTTTATCATCACTGTCATTTACATCACAACATTCACTGTTCCCCATTTTCTCCTTATCTGTTTCTGCACCATTTGTTTTATTTTGTAGTGGACCCATATAGAAGTATGAATGCTCATCATAATTCCCTTTAGCTACCTCCTTTTCAGAATCACTTAATACATTTTCACTAGTGTTCATACTTTCGTTAAGTTGTCCCTCATTGCTACTTGCTCTTGTAGACACTGTGCCACAGCTATTTAGTGAAGAATTTGTCGCCCCAAGATCTGACTGCTGAGATAGTATTGATATCCCAGTAGAAGAGCTTGAGTTACTTTCATTCATTGCGATATAGCTGGAGCGATTTGGAAAGCTAGATGACCGATTCCTGTCTGTGGGTCCAAACACAAGATCTTGCTGGCTCTGGGCTCGACTGCTTTCTTCCGAGCTCGAAGAATCGGTCAACGCTACCATCACTGCATCCTCCTTAATTGTTGGTTCACTAGAGACTGTTGACAATAGATTTTCATGACTCTGAGAAACACATTTCCTATCTTTGGAATTACGTCTCATTAATCTAGAGAAGAACCCTGGAGTTTTTGTGCTTGAATTGTCATTTTTCTCTGTTGTTACATTCAACTGCACAGTTTTTAAATCTTTAACATTTTCTGGAGGTAGCGTGAATTCTATCAAGTTGTCAAAAGGCATTTCTATACCTACAGGTTTATCATTACTCACATTTTCTAGATTACCTGTATCACCTTGTCTAACACTATCATTAAAATCATCAGCACCAAATGAGATATTTCTTTGAACACTTGCACAATCAATTACAGAATTCTCTGACAAACTAGAGTTTATTTTAGAACTATTCACATATTCTGATAATGATCTAAGATTATCTATTACTGGCCTTTTAGGACTCACAGTGGTCATAAGCATGTAATTCTCCTCTCTTATAGGAATCTCTCGTCGAGGTTCTTTAGGAGAGTTTCCAGCACTTATTGTCTCTGGTCTTGGCAAGGCCTTTTGAGAATCAACTGAAGGGCCTACCACTCCTGAAGCACTATATGACCTCACATACTTTGGTCTTGGTGAAAGGTCACAATCCACTGACCTTGACCTTTCAAGGTCATTTAACCCTGTCATATCCATGTAACACATATTTGGGTCCATTTTTGTAGAGTTTTGGTCCCTTGGTGGCAAATTCACTACAGAGCGGCCACTTAAAGATTCATTTAACCTTTGAGATTCTGAATAGTCAATTCTACAGTGTGTGGGCTCTCTCTCAAAATTTCCCATCAGGAAATAATCCTCTTGTTGACTAGAATTCAATGAGACAGATGTTGGTTTGGGACTCTGATACTGAGATTTTTGTTTGTTTTGACGCTGATGCCATGATGGTTGCCTGTCTGGTGGTCTGGGTGGTGCAGGTGGGCGTGAAGCTGCACTCAATCTCTGCTTACTCTTCAACATTGGTCCCTTTGGAGGCAGTTCTGGAGGAGGAGTTTCACATCGCTCATTTGCATAAATCGGTTCATTTGAAAAGCTATGATTACGGACTCTTCTGTTTACTTGTAAATCTGATCCACACATCCCTCGTAGATTTTCACTACTTCCTGGCAGTGATACTGATATTCTGTTATTCTCCTTATTCGAGTCCCTTTCACATCTTACATTATCATAACCTTTTGACCTTGCCTTCTGAATGTCACTCCAAGAGTTACCCCCATCTGGTGCAGAGGTTGAGCCAGCTCGTATATGAACATGATTTGTATCATAATCAGCACCATCGTACTTTGATAAATTAACATAAGGAAGTGGTGCGCTCATTTTTGACTTTCTTGGGATCTTCTTAAGTTTATTAACAAGATTGGGACTAAGCAGAATGCTCTGTGAGTAACCTGAATGTGGTGATGGTCGGCAGTGGGTGTTATCAGATGAGATACTTAGGTTGTCCAAGGATCCTCGAGCATTCTGTCCCTCTATGAAGCTACGTAGCTGTGACAACTTAACCGGAAGTGGTGGTGGTTTCTGGTTCCCTTTACCATCCTCACAATCAACTTCAGATCTTTGGCATATCTGAAAAACAACAAAACAGGAATGGAAAGTAGAAAAGAGCTTTTTGTCTTTGCAACAGATGTGAACACATAACTTCCCAGTGAAAACCTTGCTTTGAATGTCTTGCACCTGACATACTATTATACAATGATGATCCTTAACCTGCTGGAACTGAAAATAACTAGAGGATGCTTTTGTAAAAAAGCGCATGTCTCCCCCACTGCACTGTGACCTTGACCTTTGACCTACTGACCCCAAAAACAATAGGGATCATCTGCTCTATAAGACCAATCATCCTATGAAGTTTGAGGGCTGTAGGTCAAAAGGAACTCTAGTTATCATCCGGAAACGAGAAATTGACCAACGGTCACTGTGACCTTGACCTTTGACCTACTGACCCCAAAAACAATAGGGATCATCTGCTCTATAAGACCAATCATTCTATGAAGTTTGAGGGCTGTAGGTCAAAAGGAACTCTAGTTATCATCCGGAAACGAGAAATTGACCAACGGTCACTGTGACCTTGACCTTTGAACTACTGACCCCAAAAACAATAGGGATCATCTGCTCAATAAGACCAATCATCCTATGAATTTTGAGGTCTGTAGGTCTAAAGGAACTCTAGTTATCATCCGGAAACGAGAAATTGACCAACGGTCAGTGTGACCTTGACCTTTGACCTACTGACCCCAAAAACAATAGGGATCATCAGCTCTATAAGACCAATCATCCTATGAAGTTTGAGGGCTGTAGGTCAAAAGGAACTCTAGTTATCATCCGGAAACGAGAAATTGACCAACGGTCACTGTGACCTTGACCTTTGACCTACTGACCCCAAAAACAATAGGGATCATCTGCTCTATAAGACCAATCATTCTATGAAGTTTGAGGGCTGTAGGTCAAAAGGAACTCTAGTTATCATCCGGAAACGAGAAATTGACCAACGGTCACTGTGACCTTGACCTTTGAACTACTGACCCCAAAAACAATAGGGATCATCTGCTCAATAAGACCAATCATCCTATGAAGTTTGAGGTCTGTAGGTCTAAAGGAACTCTAGTTATCATCCGGAAACGAGAAATTGACCAACGGTCAGTGTGACCTTGACCTTTGACCTACTGACCCCAAAAACAATAGGGATCATCAGCTCTATAAGACCAATCATCCTATGAAGTTTGAGGGCTGTAGGTCAAAAGGAACTCTAGTTATCGTCCGGAAACGAAGAATGGACGGACGGACTGACGGACGGACGGACTGACGGACGGACGGACTGACGGACGGACTGACGGACGGACAGGGCAAAAACAATATGTCTCCCCCCGAGGTGGGGGAGACATAATTAGCTTTACCACCAGAATAAGAGGCAGGGCCAGTCTGTATATAATTTAGTATATTCATGAAGTCTGACTAGGCTCTATACTGTTGGTAGTTCAATATTCAATTTTGTATTTTGATATTAAAATCTCTTTACCTTCTAAAGTACTGTTTAAAATTCAAAGCTGGGCCAATCTTTTTTTAATTAATTCAGGAGGTTATAGTAAACAACAATTATTAAGTGTACACAAGATATTGACTTTCAAACTCAGTGTGACCTTGATATTTGATGTTTAGACATATATATTGTTCTAAATGCCATACATTATCTCTGTATAGTTCATATTTGCACCCCCTATGATGAATAAATCATGAGCAGACAAATGTTTTTATAGGACACACATGGTTAATGTTTGGGCCAAATTATTTAAAAATTTCCCAAAGAATGGTGGATTATTGAGAGCATTTAAAACCAGACAAATGTATGATCAGATGCTTACATTACATTATCAAATTAGAAATATGTGTACTGAGAACTCCCAGGTTTTGATGGTGTGTGTGTGGGGGGGGGGGGCTATAAATATCTATTTTCCCTGACATTGATATTTAATGACCTAACATTGTACCTCGAAATATCATTCTAAAATTTAAATATGACCAACTGTTTATATACCATATAATACTTGCAAAGTTTAAATATCATATACATGTATGTAAATCATAAAGGATTTTTTAAAAATGATTTCAAATAAATAAAGGCAGTAACTTTTTTATAATAATTTACATTAAATTAATGGCTCTCAAATCTTAATCTGTTTACTAGTGCTTTTCCAATCTGAACAAAAATAAGACAAAAATTAAGAAATAGAATTCTCAAAAAGTTTATAAATTTTGACTTTATATTATTTTGACATCCCCATCCCACTCCCTCAGAAAAGATATGTCAGTAATCAGAAATGTGATGCACTTCCCTAATACACAATACTGTTATTATACAAACCTTCAACATTTCATCAAGAAGTGACATCTCTTTCTCTAAATCTTGTTCAGTTTGGTTTAATCTTCTCATTACCTCGTCCCTTTTTTCATCAGTCATGTGACTGCCGTCTCCTGCAATCTGATTGGGTACTGACTGACTTTGTTGTTTATAATGACTGTTAAATGACTGGTTTCCAAAACCACATAGAACAGGGGCACTTGATGACATGTGAACCGTGCCTTGTGATGAGCTGATGCTTTGTAGAGACTGAACACTTCCGTGAGACGAGGTTGTGTCAGATAAATTACTAGCTGTTGTAGTGGTTTCTGATTGGTTAGTAACAGTGGTTGTCGTGGGAACCTGGTATGACATCACATTGTTATTGAACTCCCCTGTCCAATTAAGATAGTTCTCATGACCTTGAGAATTCTGAGTATTTAAATTTCGTAAAGCATTAAAATTCACATCGTAACTCCTAACAGCAGATGTGCTATCACCATTACTTGATGTGTGTTCAACTTTCCTTATTCTTCTTGGTGGGACATCATAAATGGCCATCAGACGTTCTTTTTCTACATTTTCTATACTCTGCAGACGCTGTTTTTCTGTATAGTTTTTGGCACGTCTATAATCTGTGAAGCTAATTGAATGACGTTTGTAGCGTGGCCAAGAATTGTCCTCCTGGTAGTTCTGGTCTGCAAACACTTGGGTGTTATGGAATTTCTTGAACACGTTGTCACTGACTATGTTTTTGACTGGGTCAAGGAATTCACTCCCTGCAGAAACAAAATAAAGACTGGTTATCATAAAAACTGCTTGTACAGCAAAAATGATATCTATGTATCTTTATGTAGAATATTTTGACATTTTCTTTAGTTCATTAAAATTTATACGTCTTTTTTTTCCAATACATACTCAAATAATAGGAGTATTTTTCATCAGTTTATTTTTTCCCTTCAATATTTTTCTACTGTAGTATTTCTTTGAATGTTCACAATAATATGAATATTACATTTACTTGTAACATTTTTTCCAGTAGCTAAATTTAAATTCATTTAAATTATTAGACTAATTGGGTTATGACAAAAATACCTCTTTTGTTCTCCCTACAGCTTCAATTAACTTTTATTTGCATAGGCACTTAAGTATCCTATTGTTGGTGCAGATATGGATGGTTCAATTACAATATGCAGGGGGCTTAAAAATTCTTGTTTCATAAGCTGTATACAGAATTTTCTTTCCTACTGACATTATATTTGAAAAAGTACACTTACTGAAGAAGTATAAAAAAGTAAAAACATAACTTACTTCTTTTTCCTGTTTGTCTCTTGATAAGTGGTGCAGACTTGCCTACACTAGCATGGGATATTATCTCTGAGATCTCTTCAACCTGATCTGTTTGTAACACATGTGATCCCTGACCTGAAATATACATTATTACATGTGATCCCTGACCTGAAATATACATTATTACATGTGATCCCTGACCTGAAATATACATTATTACATGTGATCTCTGACCTGAAATATACATTATTACATGTGATCCCTGACCTGAAATATACATTATTACATGTGATCCCTGACCTGAAATATACATTAGTACATGACATCCCTGATCTGAAATATACATTAGTACATGTGATCCCTGACCTGAAATATGCATTTGCACATGTAATTCCTGACCTCAAATATTCATTATTGCATAAGCCATAACTGTCAAACTGTCTTTTTTTCTATTGGATTTTACGTGGCACCAACACAGTACAGGTTATATGGCGACTTTTCAGCTTTGCTGGTATAGGAAGACTTCAGGTGCCTTTCCATGCATTATTTGAGGCACAAACAGGCACCTGAGTAGACCCGCTCACGTTCTGTAAACTAGCTGGATAGCTTCCATGCATGAAAGAATCCAAGTCCCTCACGGGATTCAAATCCTAAGTGGTCAACGACTTTAACCACACGGCGAGGGACGCCCCTCTGTCATATTTTGTCTAGGCCTTATCTATGTGTGACAAAACAATAATGGTCTACACAACAGTAAAACTGCATAAAATAGCTCAATTTAAAGTTACCTTTGCCACATCTAGAGCCACCTTCAAAGCAGAATTTCCCGTCTATAGTTCCAAATCTTCTAAGTTCTGAAACCTGCCATGAACACAGTATTTTTGGTGGAATATGACCTGTCAGACAAAATTTCTGACCATGTATGTGCATACGCAGTAGATCTAGAGGCAGCTTGCTGTGACTCGGCACTTTGATGGTTCTCACTGGGAACTGATGCTCTGTATAACATAGAAAATAGTATTTTTATTTTAAATAAGCTAATAAGAAACTTTTTTTAACATTTGAATATATAAGTTAATAAAGTCTTTAGTTTACCAAATTTATTAAGCTCAATTACATTACAAGTTTTTGCAACTCATATTATTCGCTACCGAGTCCACTTCCTGGAACTACTGGTGACATATGAGGAAAGTGAGGCCACGACATCAAGTAGGACTTACACCTATGATCCATGGATAGACAGCCAGACACCTCATACACTAGACCACCACATCTAATAAAGATACAGTAAAATGTTTCTATACCTGGGTGAAAAAAGAAATGTAAAAGAACAGAAGAGAACCAATGTAAGCAGTTATACACAATACTTAATAATAAAGTATAAAAGTGTACAAATAACAAAAAGCTCGTCTTTCCTATCAATCCCATTTAACCTTATTAAAGAGAATTTATTATAAACATTTTTTATTTAGTTTATGATCAAGTTTTTTGTGTGTGTATTTTACACATCTCTCTCTCATTTCCTCATTGAAATACCAGTGATGTTGAGTATAGGCAGAAATGTCGGGAGTTAGCATGTGTTTGTATATACTGCTAAATCAATGCTAGACAGGTGGGGGGAAAATAAAACCACAGCAGCTTTTTTCTGAGTGATTGTGCCTCTATACATGAATCAAAACAATCCTGATCCAAAAAGACATGTTTTGAAAACTACTGTAATTATCCCATGTATCACATTTCTATCTTGATGATGTGCTATGAAAACAGCGAAAACAGAAATATCTTAATTTACCATATCTGAAGTAAAGAAATCTATAAAAAAAGTTCTATATTTCTCCCACATTCATACTGGTTTCTGAATGTGAAATTGTAAAAGTGTGAAAATGTCGCAAATAAAGAATTTATAGATTATTAGATACCAAGCAAAAACTGAAACTAAAATTATCCTTCATTTCTGGCTTAGTGTAAGTTACACTGTTTTTCTTGTTTACAATAAATTTAATCTGAAGTAACTGAAACTTTGTGTTGTTGGGTTTTGTTATTTTTCAGTTATTTTCATACTTACTATAAATTTACTATGAGGTCAGACATTTACTGGGTTTATTTTTCACAGATGTATGTCTTGATGAAATTCTTGGTGAAAAAAAAATCAACTAACAAAAACATATAAATGTCTAAATAAATTGGGTTTAAAGATTTAGAGCAGTTTATTTGCACTAGACTAGAACAGGTCTGTGAATTATATAGAACAGGGCAATCTATGACATGTGTTAACCCCAAAACTTGCAATAATCCATTGCATTCTGAGTAAAAACTCTTTCATTTCCAGCCATTTATTTGCAGCAGTATACAAACAGATGTAGCATCCAGATATCAAAGAAAAAACCTGCTAGCATTTTGTTAAATGATGCTGCACAGATTCTCTGACAGGAAATAAAATGTATTTCAAATAACTTTCCTTACAATGACATCCATTATCTTATCCGGCAGAATTTATTGAACAAAGAAAAAATAATTATATGATGCAATATTAGCCATTATTAGAACAACTGCGCTGCATATAAAATTTAATGTTCTGTCAAAATTCCAAAGAAAATTGCAGGTTAAGTTTTTTGTGTCTTATTTTAGTTTAAGAATTTTGGAAATTAAAGTTATAGATACAGAAGACAAGATGCCAACACATAGAACAATCTTACAAGCTAGCACAGGCCATTTCCATAGTGGCCTCCCTGGATACGTGGTAAAGATGCCTACTTTCAACCTACTTGCTAGTCATAATTGTTGGTTCAAATCCAGTCAGGAAATTCTTTCATGTAAGAAAACTACACAGCAAGCTTGTATTGTGGTCATTCAAAGCTGACAAGTTGACATATAAACTTTTGTATGATGGTGTAACTTAAATCAAGACCAACCTTCTCCGAGGCTTCTCCTAATTTTGATCTCAAATTGTATTAGAGTCTCTCTGGAATCAAACGCCAGTAAAGTAATCAGCTTCTGACAAATAATGGCTAGAACACTAGTCTCCTTGTCGTAACAGATTCCAGACTCTAGACCATAGAAACCATCCAATGGAAATGTTGTCTTTGGATTGCCTCCCTTTACTGACTCTTTCACGTCCTTGAATAGATGGACAATCAGGCGATCTGGAAATATATAAATATATCATACATAATTCAATGTTGCTCATCAAAATGACTTTTATAATATGTTTGTATTATCATTCACTGCATTCTGATATATTTTAATGTTTTTTTCCAAAGTTAGATAGACATAAATCCCAAAGTTAGATACTGATAGACAATCTGCATGTTGAATTTAAACGACACTGTGAGTTACTTGTAAAAAAAATCTGCATTTGAAAATTTCGACTGATATATGTGCAACATAACTCTGTTACAAAGGGCAAAAGAAAACTTCACACTTAGAGGTAGAGAAAAACAACAAGGAAGTACAAATATTTACAAATGTTGGTAAATACAAAATCATATTAAGCACTTGTCGTCTTTAAAACTATCCAAGAACATCACAAACCTGCATGTATTTTTATCAGCAATCAGTACAAACTATGAAGCTTTGAAGAAATGCATCTCTTCATTTACGCTCATAACTTTCAAAAATTATAGTTCAGAAAACATCTTCATGCAGCCAAGATGACTACCAGATACCTTTTTTACAAAATTTCTGAAACTCGCAACAAGATACTGACAAAGTAGCTTCAAAAACGGCAATAATTACCTCGAAATAGTCTCTAATCTTATCCTTCAAAAAGATTATATATAAACTCTCTACACTAAAATAAATACTTCCTATAATAAAACTAATAGAGTACCCACAACTGTTTCATTGAAGGCTCATTTGCCAGTGAAATTATCCTCAACTTACATCAAAAGCTTCAAACACTTAACGAGCTTCATTAAGACAATGAGAATCTTACATTTATCATTCGCTTATAATTCACTGTTAATTTTTTTGCCGGAAAACAAAAGTTGGGGAGTTTTGTTGTCGTTTTTTTCCATTCTATAACTTTGCTACTGGGGTTTTCTTTTTGCTACTGGGACTGTTCACCATCACATGTGTTCTTTTGTTGTATCAGCAATTAATGACTTTATCATGCCCAATAAAAAACACACATGACTACCAGGTGGGAGTTACCTGTTTTATCTTTGATTGTTTATAGTTCAGATAAATGTTTGACATTTTTTTTGTTTCCCTCTAATTAACAGAGCTATCCTTAATACAGTGGTTTAATTACATAACATTTCTTAGAAACAATTGAACTAATGAGTTTCTCTATTCTTTTATCAAATGTCTTCTTGCAGAGAGGAAATGATTCAAACCACCTTAACATAAATGGACTTATCCAGGTTCCATGTTTGGAACTGTCCATTACTAACTTTAGGGATATCAGAATGAAAATTTCAAGTTGGTCAGCCAATATAGAACCAGTTTTGGTTCCAACAGATTAAGGGTTAGGGAAATTCTAAAATACAGATAAAATGGCCACATCTGAAATCATATATGTTATACTATGTTTTTAAGCAATTAATTTCAAGCTACATTTCTAAAGTTTGAAAATATCTTGAGCACACATTGGAAGATTAATCACACATATTCATAAGTCTGCTTTTGTCCCCCCATAGTCTCAGTGTAGTTGTTTTATTTTCTAAAACAATACCTAAATTAGCCTGATTCCCATATCCAATATCAAAATATGTATTTTGTACTGGCAAACTGACATACTGTATTTCAACATTGCTTTTTGCTGGGAGAATAGATAATTTTAATTTTTATCTCATTTGGTTTCTCAAAATTTATGTTTTGGGGAAACTTTCTGCATTCCACCTTAGAATTTGAAGCATATTAAGTGAAAGCTATTTGTTTACTTTCTGTTCTAACAGATAAGCCAGTCATTATATCATATTCAAGGATGCTATACCACTACCAGTGTACAAGTTATTGCCAACTTCTTTACATCGAAAGGGAGTGTAGTCATCTATAACTGAAGCTAAATATTTGAAGGATATGACATTTGAAACAGATGCAATACACGTTTATATTGTTACAACTAGACGCAGTAGTTCTTCCTGTCAATGAGATACTTGTATTCAGCTACATCAAAGTGCATAATATTTCATATTTGAAGGTTACAATATAGAATGCCTATCCCAGAAATTGTGGCAACTTTCTGATTCAACAACTGTTCAATCCAGCTCCAAACCTTCTTGAAGACAGGTAATGTAAAGTGAGAGTTGAAAAGGAAGAAAAACCATCTGAAAATGAGTAAACTTCAATCAACAAGAACTCATTCAGAAGGTCAAGACTTTACCATCTGATTTCCATTATCAAAACAAACAGACTTCCCTGAAAAATATTTCCACTTTCTGTCAAATAATTTAAAGTAATTGAAATCAGATGAGCCCAGTTTTCAGGCAGCTTGAAATGAAACAAGATATGTTTGTAAAACATGTATGCCCCCTATCAGCAGCCAATTAGTCATGTGATAAGGTTATTATGCATGACTTCTGACCCAGTGATCAAACAATTAATAAGGGTTATCAAGTATCTACTGGTCATGACATTAACCTTTGACCCCTTGACCCAAAACTCAATAGGGGTCATCTGCTGGTCACGACCAATCATCATACAAAGTTTGAAGTTCCTAGGCCTAAGCGTTTTTAGTTAATTGATCGGGAACCGTTTTAACATACAAGGTCAATGTGACCTTGACCTTTGACCCCTTGACCCCAAAATCAATAGGTCATCTGCTGGTCATGACCAATCACCATACCATGTTTGAAGTTCCTAGGCCAAAGGGTTCTTAAGTTATTGATTTGAAAGCATTTTTACCTACAAGGTCAATGTGACCTTGCCCTTTGACCCCTTAACCCCAATATCAATAGGGGTCATCTACTGGTCATGACCAATCACCATACCAAGTTTGAAGTTCCTAGGCCTAAGGGTTCTTTAGTTATTGATCAGAAACCGTTATTGCTTACAAGGTCAATGTGACCTTGACCTTTGACCCCAAAATCAATAGGGGTCATCTACTGATCATGACCAATCACCATACCAAGTTTGAAGTTCCTAGGCCTTAAAGTTCTTTAGTTATTGATTGGAAACCGTTTTTGCTTACAAGGTCAATGTGACCTTGACCTTTGACCCCTTGACCCCAAAATCAATAGGGATCATCTACTGATCATGACCAATCACCATACCAAGTTTGAAGTTCCTAGGCCTTAAGGTTCTTTAGTTATTGATCGGAAACCGTTTTTGCTTACAAGGTCAATGTGACCTTGACCTTTGACCCTTTGACCCCAAAATCAATAGGGGTCATCTACTGGTCATGACCAATCACCATACCAAGTTTGAAGTTCCTAGGCCTTAAGGTTCTTTAGTTATTGATCGGAAACCGTTTTTGCTTACAAGGTCAATGTGACCTTGACCTTTGACCTCTTGACCCCAAAATCAATAGGGGTCATCTGCTGGTCATGACCAATCACCATACCAAGTTTGAAGTTCCTAGGCCTAAGGGTTCTTAAGTTATCACTCGGAAACCATTTGGTCTACGGACCGACGGACCGACAAGTGCAAAGCAATATACCCCCTTTTCTTCGAAATGGGGGCATAATAAAGACTGACATGCTAGAAAACCTGGGCTGGACTTCAAGCTCCAGAATCAATATGTTGATGAAAATACCGTATATTACATATATAACATACATGTCAATGTACATTTTGTATAATTATTGACCAGAAATAAGTGATTTCTCAAAATTTAACATTGCAACTGTTTTTGAAAATGTTTGATAACTTGAAAACAAGCTGTGCAATCCCAATTTTTTTTTTACTAAAAAATGATTTTTTGGTTAGATCATGAAAATTTCTATTTCTGCGTATATGTCTATATTTAACAGTTGCATACACCTTACATAGAGCTTGATAACAATTCATTTTGTTCCTTTTACCATTTAATATCTGACCCTAATAATTGCTATATAATGGTTAGAAGTTATAGAAGTAACACTAAATTTAGTATTTTTCCCTTCTTATTCGTAAAATTGTAATATTTTAATATCCCATTGGTTGTGAAGTTTAGCCCAGCCCAGGTTTTCAAACATGCTAAAATGATTGGAGCCAGAGGAGTATATAGAATTATCAGCTGTAGCCAGCGCTCCTAATGCTGGACAAAGATTAAGCTCAGATTAGCAGACGAAACATTAGAATAATTCAATTTATTAAAAGCTGCTCAGCATGCTTTTGTTGTTTTTTTTTTTTTACATTTTCCCCTAGGATGAAGTTAATGTTAAAGGCGCCTAGAGCCATCTGTCTCCCTGCAATAAGCCAGGACTTTGAAACAACAGCTGGATATAGAGCATGCTGTCTTCCTATGGTTGAGATATTATAGAAATATTGTTTTTTGTATTTACAATTTGTTACATAATACGGTAACTGATATGTTTTATTGTTTTCACTGAACATTCATGTACAATGGAAAATGATTTATTTAATTTCATTTCATATAAGTACAAAAATAATGGGAAATTTCAAATCTGTGCGGTTCATACCTTAGATCATAAACTATCAACAGACACAAAAATGTATTCAACACCATAGACAATAATGTGACAACTTTAAAATATACAGAAGTTTATATCAATTTGAATGAAAGAGCCATTTTTTTATTATATGCATATATTAAGAAAAATGGGTGTTAACAGACATATTTTCATAAATGTTTCAAGAATTAAACTCATGTTGCCAAGAAAAAATGCTTTTATATACCATAATTATACTGTATATTATAGCAATATTTTATACTAAATGTGTTTTAGTCCACAGACAATGCCTGCAATTATTCTGGGAAATAATATAACATTGAGCTATGTTCATAGACTATTAAGTACACTATCGTGGAGCGAGTATCTCAACAATATGTCTTACAACATGCATCATTCCATGTAGAAATGTTAACAATTTTTTCATTTTTGAATCAGAAGTACTAGGAATCTGGCCTGGAATGACAGCTATTTCTACACTGCAGTAATGTCTGCACATCAAACATGTTGAAAAGTCAGCAGTTATGAAATTCAAGACACCTTGAAGCCAAGGTAATCTACGAACACAGCTGCCTCCTGCAGAAAAA